ACGTTGGTAAAAATCAAAAGGGAAAAAATTTTGGAGGGTAGAGAATGTTCTGGTCGAAGGATCTAGGTGCGAAGAATTACAATCAAGTCGCCCACGGACCACAGACGCTTAAAATTACTTTTCTGTTGCCTTTAATGTTTCTTTTTTAACTCTCCAAGTATTGTTAGACACTTACTAATTTTTTTTTCTTTTACAGTTGCCACTGAAGTATCAATAAAGTGATCTGCATAACACTTGAACGAGTTGGCATGGGCGAGTTGGCATGGGCGATTTGATTCGTGGGCGACTTGACTATATACCGGTGCGAAGGGTAGCCTCGGAAGAACATGATTTATATCCAAATTCGATTTTGCAACTTAGCTATTCTTTCTACCAAAATAAAGAAAAGACAGAAAAGATCTGTCATCCTACTAAAACAAACAGAGAGCTAAGAAGTATTTCTTAAGATCACAATGTTATAGAGGGCTCTGGTAGACCAGTCAAATTTGTATTAAGCAGTCACCCATTGGAAATGACCGCTTAATACAGGTTCTACAGAATAGGGGTGTTACCAAAAACACAATTTTATTGCATAATTGACCACTTGATGCAGAAAAGCTGGCTAAAAAATACTACTAACATTGATTTCTAGAGATAAATATGGATTTAATTTTACTTGAAAGATTATTCTTAGCTTTATTTGAGTGGTTCTGCTTTTAAGTGACTGTTCAACATGTGGAAGACATACAAAGGGGCTGTTGGACCACGACCACTTGAAATAGAGGGGAAATTTACAGTAACTAAGGGAAAAATTTGTGATTTTCACAACCAACTACTTAATACAAGGTGACCACTTAATACAGTGCCACCTAATACAGGTGCAACTGTAGTGGCAGTGGTAAACCAAAAGTGGGTTTATCATTCCTTAGAGCTATGGAAATAACCCTTAAGAATTGTGGTGGCAGGAATGTAGCTAACAAAATGGAACAGCTTGACAGGAACAACAAACTCACCATTGAAACATAGCCACCAATTCAAATGAAAACCCAGACAAAATCTGAACAATAATACATTCTTCAGCTGTGGCACTAGTGGTTTTCATTCTGTCTAGCAACCCAAAAATTGTCAAACCCTGAGATGTACTTTCTAAAATGCTATACTTCTAGAAAAGTATATCACACCTACTGGATAGTAATAAATTTATTATGAAAGCCCCATATAGTTTAATTGTAGTTGAATTTGTTATCCTGAATAATTTTGACTATGACATTACTTACTTTCAGTCACCCATCTCTTGTGCAAAGTCCATGATCAGTTCAGGAGGTCATGGCATCACAGATCAAGACCAAGGAAGAGATATGTTGTGTGGGAGCGATGCCTTTGAGGGTCAGCCTTTAGCCACCCATCTCTTGCACAAAGTCCACTCTCTGTTCTGAGCGTGTAAAGATAGTCCATTGGCCAAAACAATCAACACACTCACTGCTTATCTTTTTCCTTTTTTGTGGGACCAAGTCTTTGCATCACAGATTAAGACTAAGGAAGAAATTGGCTGGGTGAAACTGACTTCTTTTTAGGGGTTCAGCTCTTAGACACCCATCTCTTGTACAAAGTCAACCCTCTCATCAATGCATAAAGACAGTCCTGTAACTAAGTATTAACACATTCCCTGCATATCCTTTTCTCTTTTTTTGTAGGACCAAGTCTTTGCATCACAGATAAAGACTAAGGAAGAGATTTGTTGGGTAAAACTGACTCATGTGTGAGTCAGCTCTTAGGTGCCCATCTCTTGTACAAAGTCCACTCTCTGTTCAGCACTCTAAGACATTCCCTAGGCCAAAACAATCAACACACTCCCTGCATATCCTTTTCCTTTTTTTTTGTGGGACCTGGTCTTTGTAGCACAGAGTAAGACTAAGGAAGAGATTTGTTGGGTTGAACTGACTCATGTGTGAGTCAGCTCTTAGGTGCCCATCTCTTGTACAAAGTCCACTCTCTGTTCAGCACTCTAAGACAGTCCCTTGGCCAAAACAATCAACACACTCCCTGCATATCCTTTTCCTTTTTTTTTTGTGGGACCTAGTCTTTGTAGCACAGAGTAAGACTAAGGAAGAGATTTGTTGGGTTGAACTGACACCTTTGTGGGTGATCAGCTCTTTGTCATCCATCTCTTGTACAAAGTCCACTTTCTGTTCAGCACATAAAGACAGTCCAGTGGCCAAAACAATCACACACTCCCTGCATATCCTTTTTCTTTTTTTTTTTGTGGGACCTAGTCTTTGCAGCACAGATTAAGACTAAGGAAGAGATTAGTTGGGTGAAACTGACTCCTTTGTTGGTGATCAGCTCCTAGGCACCCATCTCTTGTACAAAGTCCACTTTCTGTTCTGAGCACATAGAGACAGTCCAATGGCCAAAACAATCAACACACTCACTGCTTTCCCTATTCCTTTTTTTTGAGGGACCAAGTCTTTGCATGACAGATTAAGACTAAGGAAGAGATATTTTGGGTGAAATTGGGTCAGCTCTTAGATGCCCATCTTCTGTACAATTTAGTCCACTCTCTGTTCAGCACATAAAGACAGTCCAATGATTGAAACAATCAACACACTCACTACATATCCTTTTCCTTCTTTTTCAGTGGGACCAAGTCTTTGCATCACAGATTAAGACTAAGGAAGAGATTTGTTGGGTGGAACTGACACCTTTGTGGGTGATCAGCTCTTTGTCACCCATCTCTTGTACAAAGTCCACTCTCTGTTCAGCACATAAAGACAGCCCAGTGGCCAAAACAATCAACACACTCACTGCATATCCTTTTCATTCTTTTTTTGTGGGACCAAGTCTTTGCATCACAGATTAAGACCTCATAGTGATTTGTTGGGTGAAACTGACTTCTTTGTTTGGAGCACCTCTGTGATCAAGGAAGGAATCGATAAGAAATGGTAAGAAACAATTAAAATAATATAAAGGAACATTGTTCAAGACATAGGTTTGAAGATGCTAAAGATCTGAAAGAGATGGCTTGGAAATGATAATTTTCTAAATCCATAACACGTCCACGATTTGTGATGTACTTTAGTTGGAAATTTAAAAGAGAATAAATGCCCAAACGCAAATTTCGGAATATCTCTCCCTTCTGGACTGTACCTAGCCTCCCAGCAGGCCCTCTTTATCATCGTTCAGCCTGAGTTATTGTTTCATTGCCAGGCAACAAAGGAAAACTTTACATCCACATTGTGATAAATTAGCGTCTACATAGCAAAATCTCCAAACAAAAAGCATCACTTGTCAATTTGAAATATTGTTAAGTTATTTCTAAGGATTAACATTCTCCAAATTTAAGTGCCTCTCAATGACTGATGAAGGAGTATATTCTGAGTAATATTTTGCGAGGGTGTCGGCCATTTCTAACAAATTTCACCCCAAGTGTACCCTCTACTTCTATCAACATCTAGACACTAAAACAGAGTCTACATGTAAGTCCCCCGTGAGTTCCTCTAAGTTACATATTAAAATTCTCTAATAAAATTCCTTCAAAAAATACGGGAATAATCCAGCAGAGATCAAAAGGGAGAAAGCAAGTTTTGAAATATTTTCTTACATACCTTTTGGTGACACGAGGTCGTGATTTCTTCCTTTTCCGACCACTCTTTCCGTCTATCTTTGGTCTATTTACCACCAAATGACGACGATAGTATTTTAAAAGTAAGAGATGCCAAGGTGCTCTCTCTTTCCGATCTTGTATCGAAGCAAGCTGGTTTTTTTTTCCAAAAGATTTCAAATCCTCCGCCACCATGTTGGATTTACCAATCTGTTGCCCAGTTCTCCTCACCTTACGAAAGAACGCGCGCGTTTCGTGTTGACTTTTCCGTAAGCGTAGAAATCGCGGGAGGGCTCAAGGGATTACGGTACCTGTTCACGAAGATGAATGAAATTTTCGCCATCATTTTTGTCATATGACAGAGCTCATTAATTATGACTAAGGCTATGTTAAAAAAAAAAAAACAAAACAAAACAAAACAAGAAGAACAGGTAACAAGTACAATTCTAACTTGATAACCACTAAAAAGATTGTGAACTGAATCTTAAGTCTTCCTGAATTCCTACTGTGAATTATCGATGTTTCGAACAATTTGACGAAAATGCGTGGGAAAGCAACTCAACAAGGGGGGGAGGGGGTATGCCTTGTACGTGGGATACATACTTAAGCAAAAATGGAAATCAGACAACTTCTGACTCACTCAACAAAGTTTAAAACCGCGTAAGATGAACACTTAGGGGAACATAACGTCTTTGGTAATGCTGGTCTCCGGCGTCCCAGCAACCATGTAAAAAAGCTTAAAGAAGACTGGGGCGGAGGTTGAGACCCAACATAAAGGTAAAGGCTGATCATTTCACGTTGACCGACGTAGAAAAAACCTAACGTGACCGTGGCACGATAGAGTTAGATCCGCGTGTTGGAATGAAACTGAGGACAACTATTTTGGTCTTGTCGGCAGTGTTAACTCAGCGAAAAGTGACGACCTCAGATGAAACTCAAGTCCAAATGTTCCCCAGTTGGCCAAAGCCATATATAAAAAGCGTGGCCATGAAAAATCAGCAAAATCTCTCTTATCATACTGATGTCTGGATTAGAAAGTTCTGGAAAGATAAATTTAGTCCTACAGATCTTTAAATAACAATCATATCAGACCAGAAAGATTTTACAGAACGAAGGTATGTTCCAAGCTGTCTCGTTGGTCTCTTTCCCGATCATAATCACGTGACATGACTGGAATTCCCAGCCCTCTTTGCTCATTAATTCACTGAGGCGATTAACATGGAATTTCTCCACATAATATCCATACATAATCCAGCAAACAGGTAATGAGAATATTCAAACTTATCAGGAAGTTGTTATCTTGATCTTACACCAAATTCTCGAAACCAGCTAGAGAGGAGAATGAAAAATCGGATCTTAAGAGATAAAGGGTACACATTTCGTTCCTCCCTACATGACCTACAGTAAAAACAACGCCATTACATGTGTGTTTTTTATTCATCACATTTCACGTATTGGAACCTTTCACAGCTCCATTTTTCACAGCCTTCAAGCGGTTAATAAAAAATTAATCAATGTATACACCTTGCAAAGTTTTAAAAAGCAAACAAGAAAGCGATGAAACATTAGATTTAGAATTAAAAGCGAATTAAGTAGCATTAATTATTTATCTTAGTTGCGTTATATTTATTTTACGCGCGTCTGAAGTTAGTTCAATTATATTTTCTTGTCACTTTTCATGGCAAAAATAAGTACCTGGATGACGATAATGGGTAATTTGATTTTTCCACGAAGAATTTGACGCAAAAACAAATTCTTCAAAGGAAAGTGAAATTATGCAATACGTAGGGATGGAGTGTAAAGTGGAGTTCGAATAACCACGGAAAATGATTATCGATTTCCACGCAAGTCATAACGAATCGAAAGTTATCACCTAACAATGTACCTCATTTCATTCACTTGGCTAAAGAACAATTGAAAAATCTCATCAAACTAAATTACATTACACGTAAAATCAAATTAAAGTTGACACTCGTACGAAGAAATGGGCGAGACAAGCAAAAAAATAAAAAGTTAAAAACCAAGACTTTTAACTAAAATGAAATATTAGTAAATAATCTGTAAAAAGTATTAAATAAAAAGACTTAAATTTGCTTGACCAAACCCCTATTTTCTTCGTCAGTGAGCAAATTCAAGCGCAAAAGTATCCTAGTCACCAAGTGTTCCCGCTTGCTCAGTTGTCTGCTCGAAACCGAGGAAGAGCTTCTCAGCAAAGTTACAGATGCATGTTTTGACCAAGCGGAGAACGTCCTGGAAACCAGGTTGCGCTTGAGGTAGCATTCAATGCTATTTCGGCAGGCCAGCCTTGCCCACGCAGTTAAGATAGGTAGCACACCCTTGAAAAAACTTGTAAATATAAAATATGTAAAAAAAAAAAAAAAGACTTTTTCACTTTTGATGAGGGTCTTCAGAGTTAAAAGTGCACGTAAGTCTAGCCAAGACTCCGTTTAAGTTTGGTAACAAGGAGACAAACCCAAGTAAAAATTTCACATTTTACAATTATTATCAGTACAAGAGACATTGTACGGTCGAGTAAAGATATAAAAATAAAGATCACTATTATCTTAGATATACAACAATCTATCGATTCTTGGCAATCATCTATCGATTGACCCATCGCTTGATTGATTCCTGCCACTCCATATCTTCGTCATCTGTTCGTTGGGTACCTTCGTCGTCGTCGGTTTGAATGTAACTCTCGTCATCCGTCATTTGAGATCGGGACGACGTCTTGTAATCTCCTTTGCGAGCGTTGAGGTCATCATCGTCTGTATCCGTATCGCCTTCGGAGCCTGCTCGTCGACCCTTCGGAGTTTTTCCGCTCCTGCTCGGACCGTGAAGGATAACTTTCTCCGATGGCTCTGTCATGACAATGTCTCCATTGGTCAGGTTTGAATTTTCCCTGGCTTCCTGCGATTCCAGTGATTCTCTAATCTGATTGACTTGCTGTTCAAGGGCCTCCAGATCAGTGTCATCTGTGTTTCCGTTGGGAAAATTCACCGCTTCGTCTTCATCCTCTGTATAAAGAAAGAAGAGAACAAAATTAAGTTGAAGGTTTGTCGAGTGTTACATACTTCTGACGAACAAACACCCCAAAAAGCTCAGAAAAAATTCGTTTTTCACGACTGAGCGGATTTCACCAGCTTAGTTGAATTAAACTATTTTTAAGATAATACTCGATACCATGGAGAACATATCTATCTACTTCAATCAACTTGTAGTGGGGATGACTTTTATTTCTACCACTTGCTTTGACTTGTTATTTACAATCAGTTCCTTAATCATCCTCGCTCATTTTAGGGGCATTCTTATCTCTTTGGAGGTTTGTGAACAAGGGTCAAGATTACGTTGTCCTCTTTTAACCCATAACCCTTACTACGACATCAACAACAACAGTGAGAAATGGAACCAGAGCGTTACAAAGTTGAGACATCTCTCTATAACCCCTAAGAACATACATACCAGAATTAAGTTCTTTGACGAGCGAGGACATCGCACTAGTCACATTGTCAGCAGCCAATAGCAGATCATCTCTCAAGTTCCTGCCAGTGGCTCGGTCTCCAAACGCTTGCTTGATATCACCATCTACTCCACTGAGCGGAGGAGGCTCCGATCGAAGGCCTGGTTCTGCAGCAGATGAGGACAAGGGAGACCTTTCGAAATCCAGAGGCGAGCCTTGATCCTCCATTCTCTGTGCCTTAGGGCTGCGTGGCGCCCGGGGTGAACCGGCCTGAGGATCAATGCAAAATTGAGTTGAATGGCGAAGGTTTTCAAAAGCGCAGGTTACATAAAAAAGAGTAATACAATTTTTCAATCGAAAGAAATTCGGTACTGCATAAGGTTCGCTCTAGTAGCTGTGAGAAACTGAGGGAATTAATAGATGCCTCAGAAAACGATATTCTCTCAGAGAGAATCCAAAGTAATGCATATCCTTTCATACAAACATGCTCTCAGCAATTAGACGAAAGTCAAAGCTATCTATTCGGCCTTCTGTGGCCTCAGAAGACACGATTTACCACGCAAACACTGCCGTACAACTTGAGGCTTATTAAAGTAAATGTTCCCAAATCCAGTATCCATTATGGAAACATAACTTCATACACAAAAACTGCAGTGAAAGTTGTTGAAATATTTCTTATTTTTAAACAATTATGGGAGAGATTGGTATCTTCTTGGCGACCGCGAATACATTGCGAGCATCGAGCTCTCTATTAATATTAAGTGCTTTTCACTTAGGAGGCCAGCTCAAAGGAGATAAAGTGATATCGTGGTTAGGGCGTTACCTGATAACGCATGTACGCACATTGTGTACACAGAGATATGCATGTTCCTTTAAAATTCAGTTTTTTATCATTAAGAATAATAACTGTAACATCTTTTCCCACGATCTCAACTATTCATTAAACCCATTGCAGACCAGCTCTTTGAAGTGCAGCAAGTGTTTCTGCACAAAGGCAATATCGACATAGGAGAATTTAACAAAAAGGATTGACGCAAACGAATAACAAAAGCTACCTAAAAAAAAAGTATTTGCATATACTTTTTTTTTCTTTCTGGAATTCGACGAGAAAAACGTAGGCGAATGTATCTCACGCCATCCTTTTACGTAAATCGTTAGTCAATTACATACACGTGCAAACGTTTTGTCTTCTCAAAGGTTAACTCAAAAACAATATTGATCTTCGGTTCAAGAGAACGAAATATTTAATCACTATGGCGCGAGGACAAATTCAAAAAATGTCTTCAAGCACATTACTAATATAATGAGAACCACGTAATTGTCTGTAATGATATTATAGATATAACAGCAATATCAACAGGATCATAGTTCGGTTCAGTTTATTTGCTAATTAACCTGCTCCCACGCTGAAGAAAGATGTCTGATTTGATAAACGCAAAGAGATGCAAACTTAAAAACTTTCGACAAAAGTATTACTCTACTGATTATGTAAAGAAACACAAAATTCCTTCCGGATGATAAAATACAACCTTCATGAACATTAGACTTCACGTATCCTTCACAAGCTATTCCAATACTTGTAGCTGAGTGAACGTGAGACAGATCTCGTTCATTCCACGTCGAAAACACGTGATTGCCCTGGTGGTTTATTTTGGCCCTAGGAGCACTTGGACTTTCAGTTAAGATGCCTTGGTATTGCTCGTGGGAAGTTAAAAGTGGTTTATATTAAAAACATTAATAAAACATTGAGAGAATTTATGGCCGAGTAAGGAGTTGTTCACTGATTTTAAAATAAATTTAACTTTGTTACTTGAGAAATGTACACAATTTTCTGGTAGTATAGAACTCAATCACTACTTTCATAACAAGACCGCGTTTGCTTTTTTTTTTTTTTTTTTTTTTTTTGGCTTCACAAAATCCAGTAAGAAAACTCAGCTAGTTTGCCTTTTTACTTCTCTTTCGTAGTAACTAATAAAATATCTATTCACAGATGAATAAAGCTCAAGTCCCCGAATTCGATATCGTTCATTTTCGGGGAAGAATCTGTACACATTGTTGGCCTCAAAGTGAATTCACGTATTATTCCACTGAGAGATTGTTTCAACATAACGCGACTCTTCCACATGGTGACAAAAATATACATGCTACGAGACAAGCAAATAGACTATTACCGCAAGCGCGGAAATGACGTAGACATTTTAAGGCATCGCGGCCATACACCCATACCTTATCGAGACTAAAATCTCAACTGGGCAAAGGCAAATGGTAAGGCTTTAGCAAAGGGGGAAAGCTCTTTCGAAATTCCAAAATGGGATTTAAATTGCATTTCTCATACCATTCGTTGACTTTCCTTCAGTTTTTTAGCTTTCACAGCTGGCAAAGTCGAGCTCAGCTTCGACACAGTTCGCTAAAAATTTGCTACATTTTGACGGTTTTCGGTAACGAACTTATCGCGGAAGAATTAATGGAAAAAAAAGCAGTCCTGGTTTAAAAATAAGTTAAGGATATGAAATTTAAATGAAATAACGATTTACTTAAAGGGAATAATCGTACTTTACAAAAACTTTTCGCGCCAAAAAATTGCGTAAGCCTAGCGAGAACACGAACTCCTTCACACAACATCAACACTTAAAATATCAACAAACCATACCTTAAGAGAATTAAACGCAAAGGGAACTGCATCGTAAGAACACCCTCCAAACCCTGACAATGTCCTTGTCACTGTGCACGACACACATGGTGCTTCAAATACGGTAGAAAACTTCGCTAAAATATTTGTCACAACGAGAAAAAGCACAGTATACGACAACGCTTTGTTGTTGTTACAAAAACTGAAAATTTTTCCTATAGAAATGGCCTTGGTTTCCATGTCGAAGTTGCCGCAGCGCCGGGGAACTTAAAGAGATGTTTCCACTTAAGATTTTTTGCAAGCAAATAACAGCTACAAATTGAAGATATTTAAATAGCTGCGTTTCTGCTATGACGCAGTTGACAGACAAATAAAAAGCCTGCCCCTAAGAGTTATGTAAGTGATGCCGAGGAAAGATAATAAGTTAAATAATTCGCGCAATATTGCGTTTTCTTCCGAAGCGAATATCTTACATCCGGTAAAGCATACCAAAGTTAAATTTAGTACGGTAATATAGTGGTTTAGAGGGAAACGTTGAAACGCTTAATTATCTTGGACCTTACATTTATAGCTTTTTACCCCACCTAAGGCTATTTCCAAGTCTTGCCTTTTACAGTCAAATAGCATAAATATCTTCACAAGAAGAAAAAAGCTCACAATCTTATCAATAACACTTAAACTCAGTGAAGATAAAACATCCATTGATGAACAACGAAATAACTCCAAGAGAAGGTAGGTTTTAATTTAAGTTTGGCTCGTGAGCGTGAGAAATAGCATTGCTAAATTAAGTTAAACTGCAAGAATTCAATTTATTCCTTTATAAGAATTGAAACAGGAAAGCGCCAAAACCCAAGGCATTTTTTTGAGAGTTTTCTTAGCAGTTATTGCCTCTGAACCGACGATGCATGACGAATAAAGGCACCGCTTATAAAATATATAATTTTGTAGAAAATGTGAAATGAAATGCGACTAACAGAAGTTACCACAAAAATTTGGGAACCACTTCCAAAAACAAATATTTAAGATTGAGTTGGAGTTGTCGCTGATGTTCTGCTGAGAGTAAAGGCAGGTAAAATTTATACTCGAACCAAGTGACCCATCCAGCCCTAGCTGATCCTGTTTTACTTTACAAGAAGCAACTACGAGTATTACTACTCTCCCCTGGATGGGACTCCACAGTTAATAAGGAAAAATAGCGTAAGAAAATCCGACAAAAGTCGAACTCCAAAGGGACAGACATTGACCCTTTCTCAAATATATTAATTTAAAGCTCAATTAGAAGAAGACTCGTAAAACTACCAAAGGTTAAGTACTGAAAAGTCTGCGCATCGACATTGTACATCCATCATCGAAAACTGAACCATCAAATTCTTCGTTATAACAACACGGTTTACTAAAATCTTATCTGAAAACTCTTAATTTTAATTCATTTCTTGCTCCTGAGAGTACACTCAGTTCAAGTTGGCTTTTACAAATCTTATTTACATGGCGACGTCGATATTTCTATCACTTTGAAAATGACAAAGAATACTCGAGATCCTAGAGGAATATCGATATAACATGATTCGTCAAACCAATATCAGTGCCATTATCTCAAATCCATCTTTCAACTACTAAGCCTGTGGAATGCAAATGAGTTAATGTAACTAAAACTGTAGGATGAAATATCACCAGTATATAAGACCTGGTTCTTATTTTTCACCACAACGATCCATTTTAAAAATAAAAAATCTGCCAGCCCACATATTTTTGTTTGTTTCGCAGCGCGCACTAATGAAGTGGCAGTAACTCAAGATTAGACAATTGATCCTTTGTAATCTTCTTCTTCTCCTCGACTGTCTGATTGAAAGTGTATTGACAGTAGAACAAGAAGTTTGATCTTCATCGTGTTTGAGAGGCTTGGGGAAAAAACACTTGATCAAATAACCGACAAACGGTCGATAGATCTTTAGATGAGGGCTCCTCTACTATATAAGCATGTTTATGATTGGTTAGCTTGCACTTTACATTCCACGACGGAATGCAGTCAATTACTAACTGTCTCTTTTATCTTAATTAGTTTGTCTGAAAACAGTTCAAAACGAAGCGAGATGAGTCGCCCAGTTCCTTTTAACTTTGCCGCTCTACAATCGATAAAAACAACGGCAACATCGATAAGTGTATCCATATCAAAGACGGTTTTTAAGTAAGCAGCGACTTTGACTTTTTGGGCATTGGCAGTGCAAGGCTGCATTTTAGGTCGTTCAAACGGGTTGAAACGTGTCGTCCCTGGGTGGTACAAATTTAACCCTTTCCATCTAAAGATTTAAAAAAATCAATTTCCTACATAGTCTACCATGTATTAATTGGAATTTAAGCTCTAAGAATTGGGTGTTCAACAGTATCCCTTATTGGCTTTTTTTTCCTTTTATTCATCACCTCTCTGCTTGAAAATGGAGCAGTGCTGTAAGTAGAAATTCCGTTTTGGTCACTAGAGGGAGTTTACAATGATGACAAACTCAAAAAAAATAGATGAGTAGTGACGATGTAACAACAACCAACAATCACCAATAGTGGATAATTGCAGTTGAAAAGGATAATTCAGTTACTGCCCTTCATTTGCTTAAAGATATCCTTACTAAAGTGAGATACATGGGAAGACAATATCTATTGCAAGTTCTTAGAAAATCTGTCTTTCAACTGATATCGTACAACCTCTCACTCCATAAAAATAACCACAACTATAGGTTTCACTGCAAGGTGAGGTTAATCACATTACTTGTCACTTGAAACTGGCCAAATAAAAACCTGTCCATCTAAACAAACAACGAAATGATCCTCAGAGCTACACTGAGTTTGAATAGATTGCTCAAACAGAAGACCAAAAAAATCGCGGTTCCACGGTAAATAAACAAGTGACTCCCAGATACTACTTGCGCGCTACTGCCAACTGACCTATGAAACCACATTCAAGGAGCGAGGCTAATCTTACAGAGTTCTTAACTTCCCACAAGAAATCTGATCACATATAGATGAAATACATCTTTCTTCATACATTTATGTTTTACACCTGTGATTAATTTCACTTTCCAATTAGGTGGTTACCTTCCACCTTCTAGAAATAATTCTTTTTTTTCCCTACAGGGATTAAGATGATCCTAAAACATGAGACACAGCAAAAAAAATCGGTAAAAGTCACTTTCAGCTTCTGAGGAGTAATCAGGTTTTGTTGCTAACGATCTGGAAGCTAATTCTCCCGACTGATACCCACACATATCATACCAGAGAATTTGTCTTTAATCAAGACATCAACCACTAGGTAATAATTTTCACAATTCTAATCACCAATACCTATGATTGAGTATCAAACTTGTAAAGAAATAACAATACCGATAACTGCTAGAGAAGAAAGAGTTAACTATTCTTTAAAACACTTTCAAAAATTTCCATGACCGCAAGCTGTCAATTCTAATATCAATTCAAAGCTAGAATTCGTTATCTCCCAACGAAATTTTACTAATCTTATAGTTTGATTCCTTTTTGAGACTAACAGCTTATAGTCTGATGTATCAGGGATTGATATCATGAACTTGTAGATTAGTATAGAATGTTCTGTTTTAAGTGTAAAGCATTAGGAGGAGACTTCATCTTATCACTCATGTTGAAAATCTTCCAGTAACATACATTTTTTCATTGTTATCTTCAATTTCGGCGAGCGAAATATAACGCAGAATACAAATTCTTTTTTAACGATCAGAGGCAATATTTGCCATATTGCACCTGAGAAATCATCCCACATAAACAAGCAAGTAATTTAATCTACAGATAAAATAGCTTAAGCTGACCAAAACTGAGGCGGCTTTCAAGGACTCCTTGGGCAAAGGAGCTTGCGACTTAAACTTAATACAACGCGGACAGCTAAATCACAAACTTCGATTTCCATAGGCTCCATCAAAATCACTGTCACAAACTACCACGCAATCACCGAGTGCTGGCCCTGACCTTCGGTCGCATAAGCATTTACCTAGGATGGTATTGAGTCCAGTAGTCTCAGCAGCAGTCCCTATAGTGTCAGACTCTCGAGAACAAAAGATAAATATTTGGATTTGTAAGAAGATATAATTGTGACCTTGGGAGTGGATGGAAGTGTTTACCTAGTATAGGAAAGAGTAGGTCAATTAGAGCGGTTTTCGATTAGGTGTCATAAAACCGAACCCAAAGCAATCAGAACAGCCACCATGGTAAAGAAAATATCACCAGGAGCCACAAAGAACTTAAAGTAAAAACAAGCAACCTGCCTGAAGCGCTGGAAAACGCGAGTGACCCAGTCACGATTGGTTTTCATTGGGCGTCCGATTGGTTAAGAGCAAGAGCGAGAGCGAGTTTTCTACATCAATCACGTTAGAGTCGCGTTTAAGGCAGAGCGCGTTTTCCTGGGTCGAAGAAGAGACCAAGATTGGGAGCGACGAATCAAGGGAATACTGAACTAGCAAGTGATATATCCGCAAATACTGTTAACCTAAATAGAGTCATTGATCTCACTCATTACCTTGAGTGAGATCTATCGGCAAAAAAAATTCTGCAAGAGCTTGCTTCTCACAAACAAAACACTAGTTCAATTGACAAGGTTATCAAACTTCATTTTTTTAATACTTTATGACCAATGCCTTTCTTTCCGTTTGTTAAAGTTGCTCTGCAAAGCGTTTACTAAACCGCAGTTTGACACTTCTAATTATTTCACAAGTTAAAGCAGTGCGAGTAGCTTGACGAGCTCACAAGACGTTTCTTCCTGATGTGATAGGAAAAAATTTGGTCTGGTCAGTTAAGATGATTTAGACTTCATGCTTGCAATACTTAAGTCAACATTTAGCAGATTTCCTTGAAGTGGCCGTAAGTGAAAATTTATCTTACCCGTAACCTTTTAATCTGAGTACTATTATTACCAAAGCGATAACACACAAAGCACAATGCTTCCTAAATTCATATTTCTTCGGATTTACAATAAAGATTTTTGAAATGTCACCAATAATTTCAAAAGCAACAGCAAATATAAGAACAATCGCTCTTATGCGCCGACTCTAAACATTTTTTTTAAAGAATTAAAATCTGCTTTATGTTCTTAAGAACATTTCAATAAACATCAGTATTTTTGGGGGGTCGGTGAGTCACGTGACTAAAATGTAAAAGTCACGTGATATCACTTGAAGCTTAAAACAATTTATATACTCTGTTGGTGAATACTATAATAACTCTAAGCTAAAAATTAAAACCGATTAAATTAATATTGTCTCCGCACAATTACGCAGTTATTAAAAATATAAGAGAATATAGAGCACAAACGATTTAAGAAAAGAATTCATAAGTACGAAACCTTAAAAAATACATATGTAAATATATTCATTCTAGTTACAATTTAAAAAAAAAATAGAAAACAAATTAAAAAACAACAACAACAACAAAATGAGCTACTCTGGCACATACTACAATTCATTGTTTCGATTCTCAGACTCAGGCCGAAACAGAACTTGTGCAAGAATTATAGACATGAAACAAAACCTGTTACGGGGGGGGGAAGGGTGGAGGGGGATGATTTAATTTAATTCATGGACTCCTGTTTAATCCTATTCATGGTAAACACCCACCCATCCCACCCCTAAGGAAATATTTTTGAGACACAACTAACAAATTTAGCTTAGAGAGATTTAACACCGAAGGTGTTTGATATGTTGGGATAGCAGGCCTATTAGAGGTCTTCCCCTCTAAGGGCTGTTATGAAATCTTTCGCCAGAACTGTTGCGTGACAACAACGTAACAGCTACAGGTAGACCATGGGTGAATCAATGCATACAGCGATCTTCCAAGGTAGGTTCTTCAAATAACATAATAATGAAAACTGATCGTCCTCTCGTCTTCAGATTCATATGTTTTCTGCCTGCAAAGAGACAGAACAAAGTGGATTAATAAAACACGACCAAGACTTGAACATAATTTCTGAGTTTTTCTTTTTTTGTTCGAGGGCACCGTCTCGCTTAATTGTTTTTTCCATATCTTTTTTTTCAGGGCATCGTAAGTTTCATGCCAAAAAAGGTTTCACATGCACAAAATTAATTCAAAAATTAGTAGCTGAAGAAATTAGACTACTGCATGTAAACGTATGAACGTAGAATAAAAAATTCCTATCTTTCCAAAAGAACCAAAATAAACAACACTCATAAAAGTTCACTTTCCATTAATCCACTTTGTTCAGTCCTCGTTACAAGTATAGTAAAGAAAAAAAAACAACACAAAAAAACAATAAATAGGTTTAACTGTCACTGACTTGAGTTAACAAGGAAGCAAAAATAATTGTATAAAGAGCTTACATATGGTTACAAGTTTATGGTTAAAATTAATCCAAAGAAATCCCTCCACCAGTCAAGCTTTGTACTTGAAAGTAAAAGCACATTAAAACACTTTGCTCTTACAGTTCATCACTGTTTGTGATTCACTATTAAAAAGAAGCCGCTGAGCATAAATGACTGACGAGATCAGGAAAAATTTGAGCTCTTTCGTGTTTAATTCTTCACCCAAACATAACACTGGCAGTGTTTCTCCCTACTCCAGAAGTATTAAAGTGGACAGTCACTCTCCCTCCGGTAATAGGCGGGGAAGGGTATGGGAGAAGGAGGGGGTGTACCACCTGCCACGACCATCGGTAGAAGATACAACGCCATGAACATTTCGAAGCTGTCCCATATTTTCTCTCAATTGAAAACGAATGTTCCCAGTTCCACGTTATAGATTTCTGAAAACCCCATTTTAGCAAAACAATTTCCCTTTCACCCTCATTTACACTTTGACGAGGTTCAACAACATTCGCTTGGTTCGTCGTTTCTGTTTCAAGTCAAGCCAAGTTTTACCATGCCATTTTTCCTGATGCTGTGAAGACAATTGTGTGCCCTTTTTCACGGCTGTAATAAACAATTCCCTCATACGTGCCCCTAAAATATCTTATAAATGGCGTCGCAGTTTATACGTGAAGAGGAATGTTACTGCTAAGTTGCAAGATGAAGAAAAGGGTAGAATATAATTTCAAGAAAACGCAATGTTATAGAAATTTAAAAAAAACTACTGCACATATTCCGTTCGATAACAAACGGCGTGGTCATACCAAAAGGCGACATAAGTGTTTCTATGAAGTAGAGTACAGTTCACTTCTGGGACGAAAAGCGCTACTAAATTCAAAGTTTGACAAGCCAACAATATTGAGCTACTTTTGGGCTCACAAACAGCGTGACATCTAAACTTGGAAGGCAAATGGGCGGCAGTTATAGTTATTAACTGTGTAATCATACTTGAGGAGGAAGAAAAGCGCGCCCAGTGTGCCAGGGAAACGAAAGGAGCGACAAAGCCCCAAAATGAAACTTTTTGAACACGCAAGCTTGCAGTACTCGTGCAAATCCTATTACCCAGCCTCACACAATCTCTGATACATTAACACAAAGAAAGGTAACTATCATTCGAAGAACAAAAAAAAAAAAAAAAAAAGCGAGGGTAGTTTGCTGTAAGTTATCAAGAGGTTTGCACCCCGGCAATATCTTTCAGTGTACGTTATTGATGATGTAAAAAAATTATTATGGTACTGGGAGAAAACTTGTTTTTAACAGCAACTCTGATGAAAAACGAGCAGCATTCAGAAATTAGACCTTTCATTAAATTCACGTGTTTAGGTTTGAACACCTAGATGAATGCGAAGATTATCATTCTGAAGAGAGCTCTGAAAAATTGCAGGCAAAGGCGTCTTTCCGGTCCATGGCAAGCTCTCTTCCTTGAGCAACGTTTTTTACACTGCCGCTCACATTTCCCACCCTTGATAAGGGCTTAATACCTTTCCTTTACTAAGGTTCACTTTCTTGGCAATCGTACCCAGTCCCCTGCTTGCTTACAAAGGTAATTACACCCACTGGCGCAACTTACATATTTAGGAACCTTACACTGCATAGTTCATACGGGTACTTACTTTGAGCAGGTTCATCAGTCCTTCTAACTGTACCATCAGTTCTCGGCGGCTCTCTTGCAGCGCAGACATGCGCAATTCTAATTCATCTTTTCGTTGCCGTAACAACTTGAGTTCAGCCAATAGCTGGGGATTTTGTGCGATTTGGGCCGCTGATCGGGATGTTTCCTCATGCTCGTCGCGCAAGCGTCGAATTTCTTTTAGGAGAAGCCTGTTTAAAATAAGAAAATTTCAGGAGCTCAGATTATGAGTAGAATATTATTCTCTTTGTTTGTATCAGGAATTAAGTGGACAATCGAGCTGAAAATTTCCTGTATCTACTCCTCGTTTCCACAAAGAACGTTTTCAAAAAAGCAAGCAAAAAGCGCGACACTGATGAGGCTAGTGTATGCTCTAGATCACTATGCTGCAGTCGTTTTAAGAGTCATAGGACATCCTCAAATGCGACTCAAATCTTATCCGGTGCCAGATACAAATGAATTGAACACCTTCAACTAATGTCGTTGCTGGTAATTAATCTGCCAGATTAATTACCGGCTACGACTTTAGATGATCTCCACAAAAAAACGTTGAACGGTGAACGTTCATTACGTATGAACTTCGAAGTTTTCTAAGCCAAGACACTGAATTCTCACACCGCCTCTTTCAACCCAAGAGTATGAATGGTACCAACTTTGCGCTATGTTGGGTCTTGGAATTTTGCTTTATGCCTCGGAGACCAGAACTTAACTCAGACGACTTATAGGCCACCTCACTAAGTTGAAGACATAACATACTTTTTCATCAAATGAAAAATTAAACAACAACTACTATTGTTTAATATTCAATATGTTCCTCTTTCCTTATTTTCTCTTCTGAAATTGTTACCTGTTTTTGTTTTGCAGAGTCTGCATGAGTTCTCTCTGTTCCCTGTTGGCGTCAATGCTTGACTGACTTGGAGACTTGGTCACTTTAGCGGCGGCTTTCTGTCGCTAAAAAAAAACAAACAAAAATGATTACTACGTTGCTCCTCAAAAAAATTACTACAAACTACGACTGTGAGCCTCTTAAGAATTTCTTTCTGAAAGCGCAAATTGATTTTGTCATGCCACACTGTATCCTTACGAACTGGGTCTGAATTGCTAAGAACACTCATTTTTCAAGCGCAAAACTCAACACTAGAAATGTAGTTGTGCTTTCCAAAAGGAAGGATATATTACAGGGATGTATGTGGGAGGTATGGAGTCAACTGAAGACCCTTTTAACCGAAAAATAAACCGAGAATTTCAACCAAAAAGTGGGCCGAAAAATACTTTGCGCTTTCGTGGGTCTAGATTAGCATTTCACGACTTGATGCTTGCGTGACTTTGAGAGATAACTTCCCACACATTGCGCTCACTGTAATTATAAAGCGATCACTAGATTGCCCGTTGCCTAAGTCACCTGCGATTAATTTACCCGTGTAAGATAATGAAATACCCCGAGAAAAAGAAATCCCTTTCACACCCTTAATAAAAATCCAAACGGACACTGCATGATGTCCAATCCAACTATTGGCTAGAAAATCATCAATTGATAATTCTTCCAACTAGCTACACACGATAGTTTACTTTATGCGCTGAGGTAGTGATTAAAAAGAAAAAAAAAATTCACAAATCCCACATATCGGACTACTGCATCTTAGCAAAGCATTTAAATATGTAAAGCAGGCCTTGTGTTCATCAATTCTGAAAGTCAAAGTTATCTATTTCGATTTGTTGTTCATTAAAATTCGATGTTAATCAGCGCGCTGCAAAACAAGGAACCCTATGGATGTGTTATGACTAAAAAACACTAAGACGTTCTCTGATCTCAAAAAGATTGTGAATATCTCACATTAAAGACAAGTCAGAAACACTACTACAAGATACTTACCGAATTGGCTGCGAGTCTGTCCATGAGCGAGCATAATGCAACAACAAAGAGATAGCAATATATCGTTAGATAAAAGAAAAATAAAAAAAATTTTAGGCCAACAACATTACATCAACAAGATCCGGTTAGAAGCACTCGATAGAGAAAACATTTCGTTTTATCCTTTCGCGTTCAGATGGAGATTCGTGACACTAAGAACGGCGATAATAAAATTATTTTAACTTTCTCACTTGCTCAGCATGGGTTAAGCAAATATACGACAGATACACATGTGGTCGCGCTCATAAAAAAAACTAATTCACTGGGGATTAAGATGGAAACCACGAAATCTAACCAATCGTTTGCAAATTGTTACTTATTTTTCTTGTACGGGCAAAGACATACTCAGGTCAACTGAATTTAATTCATTTATTCAACGGAGTAGATCGATGCAAAACGTATGATTGAAACTGCCATTTAATTACAGGCACAAATGAAACGATGTTTTTTCGAGTTTTATTTTTTTAATTTTTTTAAAGAGTCATTAGGTAGAATAGGCGTATTCAATTCATGGAATCTGTGGTAGGCTAAAATCACACCAAAGAAATTAAAATATCTTTCATTAGCGGTGTCTTAATGCGAAATCACTCACGACCAATCGCACAGGACGCGGCGGCGAAATTTTCTAGCAAACAGTATACACAACTCACATTTGTCACATTTTCAATAGCGTCGTTTTTCTTCTTCGCATAACAACATGAAACATGAAAACTTTTCTTTTCAAATCTAAAGCGGAATTCATCCAAACGACCCAAGTAAAAAAAAAAGATATTATTCAAACAATGACCACAGAATGCGTTCACTGTAAGTCAACGCAGTTGTCACTAAGAAATCAAACTCGCGTTTATCAAAACATTTTTTAACAAAGCTTAAAATAATTTATTCCTCTGGTAGACCACCAGACATTCATTCCATAATTGCTAGAAACCTTAGTTCTCCATAAGATTTTGAGTGAATGTGGCTAAGCGAAAAACAAAGCACTGCTGTGATGGAAATTTAAATGACAAGAAAGATTGTCAACTTAGAAAGTTGTTCTTAAAATATTTTTAAGAAATACCATCAATCTTCGTGAGAATAATTAAGCAGTTTGAGATCTTGGATCAGCTCAAGTTTCGAAAGCGAATACGCATTAATGCAAAAGAAGGTAAAGAATGTAAAATTCAAGACCGTATTCTAGTTTTGTGATACGATTGCGGAGATGGGGATAGAAGAGTCGCCTTCCTTTCATGAAAATGATGAATAAGTACAAGAACATAATAAAATAAGGCTACACGAAAAATTGAAGGGAGATATCATTATCACAAACAACCCACTCAAAGTACGCCGTCCTTGAACAAACCTTCACGGAAAAAATTGGAAAGGTATTCATCGAGAGACATCCAAGACAAAGACAAAAACCCAAGCCAAGCCTGACCCGACCACTACGCAGCATGAGTGAAAAAAGCGGGTCTCATGTACATAAAACCACATTTAGCTTGTAACCCAGTCATGAAATACGGATTTTATTAACTTACCTAGCCGCATATCTTGATATCAACTTGTGCTCATCATCCATTCTGGAATCAGACAACCAAAAATTACGCCCAACATAATGGGGAATAAAACTACCGTTGGGCATGATAATAAAATACGATTTCGTGCGACGAGGAACCCGAACGGCGATACACAACTTCTTGCGGGCGTTCTTTGCCAGCTTCCACCGCCGTATTCAGTAGCTGAGCTTGCTGTTTGAGTATACTTAGTATCGCTCGCTATCAGGTGTTAATAAAACAAATCTACATATTCATAATGAGTTTTTCAACGACTGTGAAATAAATTCACTCACTTAAAGAATACATGCACTGTTCGTTTCAATTGGTCAAATTCACCTTCATAAAGATAATGGCAATTATCGCCACGGGGAAGCGATGAAGCCAGAAAAATGATTTTAGATCATATCTGAAAGGTGTGCTGTAAGTCTTTTTTCCCACGCCTTACGAAATGAAAACAAAATAGCCACGAATAATAGGCTAAGGTTATTGCTCTTGGGAGACAAGCAAATAGAAATATTAGATAAATTTTATGACAATAAAGGACGAAAAAAATGGGAATTTCATTGTCGTTAAAAAAACAAATAGTACACGACTCGAACAATTTGTCTCCTTTTTTTGCTCGACTACTTGAAAAAGTCTATTTTCGTTCGATGCAAACTTTCATTTCAAAGGGGAAAAAACCTGTTTCGCTTCATTAGGGTGGGTGTCCAATTTTGTTTGTTTGACCTTTTATAGCACACATCAAAGTTTGCAGCTTCTTACCGCTCATATTAAAGATTGAAATATTTGTTTCCTGAATTTAACAGAATTAATTCCGCAAATCCTAATTTCCATCTGAAAGACACGAAACGAATTTCCTCACTAAATAGATAGGAAAGAACGTCGCCAAAGCATCGGACACTTATTGATTTATCGTTCATTAAGCTGGAAATGTTCTTTTCTCAACAGAAAGTTCGATATTGAATGACAGCCATCGTTTTGGGGATTTGCATGGAATTATTTCAAAGTGCTCTTCCTTTCTGCGAATTTTTTCTAACGATCAATTATAATCTGTAGATACCGTCTCCACCGTCTTTTTAAAAGCTTCATTTTTGTTTCCGTTTCCTTTCTCTTAATTAAAAGACGTCCTTACACATCGCAGTAATTCAACTTCAACTCGGGTTTAAAGTAACCCGGGGTTATTTTAAGAGGTAGATATGGTCAACTAAAACCCACTTCCAAGATATCAAGCCGATATTAATTTACTCTGACGAAGGACTTACGCTCGAAACGTCGGCTTACGAATCTCTTTACGATTGCCAATTTACATTATCCACTCTGTTGATGAAACCAAATTATCGCGACATTCATTTGGCCGATCAAGTGCAAGAAGTAACACATGTGATTAAATTAAGATGCCTTTTCCTCGTTTGTTTCTTTTTTTTTTTTCTTTTTTTTTTATCGAGTATGAATGAAGACCTCAAGCAATTACCAACTCTCAAAGTCCAGAAAAGACAGGAAAACTGTTACCTTTATTACCGCGGTTTTAGCGCCAGATAACTTGAAAGACTCTACTATCCTGATGGAAAGATCTGGGTTCCCTTTTTTTTCCTTTCTATTTTTACTCGGAGAGTGGTTTATTTTTAAACCTACTGATAACCTGCCAGCTGGCCCTCATTACTAGAGACTTAACCACATTCTGCTCCAGCCATGGAAATTTCGTTTAACCCTTTCACTCCCGAGTTCTTAATATTAATTCTCTGTACTGTTCCACATGTGCTGCTTGTGATTCTAGTTAGGAGAATTTGGTGTTAAATCAAGCAACTACCGCCCCTTGTTGATATTTTTCCCTCTTCTCCTCAGCTGTCTGTTGAAACAGTTTAAATAATGTAAAGAGAAATTCCTCGTTGGTCACTCAAACGAGCCAACGAGCCAACTAGCCCTTACCTTCCGTCCAAATCCTCCGCCATTTTGGTTGGCTGTGACGACTCCATTGAGGTATCCACTGACTCAGGTGACGTAGAGCTTGCGACGTAATCAACATATTGATTTGGACCGGAAAGATCTGAAGGCAACGGAGGTCTGCCAACACAAAAGTAAAACAGAAGGAGCCTAAGTTAAATGGAATCTTGGCGTTTTAAATTCCTATAAATGATACCACATGTTTGTTCTTTCCTTTCAAAAATTAAAATGAAATAAATACGCAGAGGAAAAGTACATAAAAAATACATCAGATTTCCAGTCTCTGAACACAACTTTTAACCCAGTAAAATGGTTGTCGACGAACATAATAATATTCAGTAACTTTGAGAAACTTGTTAAGCGTTTCTTGTGATGTTTGAGAATGTGAGCGAGGCATAGAGCTATCTCTAAAAAAAAAACAACGCACGGAATTTTAAAACGAGGTAGAATCGACTAAATTTAAATTCTGAACCTAAGCAAGCAGTTAACGATTTTCAACTACGTTATATTGTTAGAGTCTCCAAATATGAAAACCGCCTCTTTCTAATGGGAAGATAATTCGTTAATTCAACTCCTCGGTACCGTTATCTAAGTAACACCGTACAACGTAATTGCGATAAGCAATTACAAACCCACTTTAATCTAAATTTATTCACGGAAGAAGCGAAAACATTCACAGACGACACGAAAGAATCAACCTTTCACATAAAAACACTTTTCGTTGCCAAAGAGGCACGACTGCAAATAGTACGCTCTTTCAAGAGTAGACAATAGACGGCATTTATGTACTTCAATTCTTAAGAGCAACAAAGACATTTGTTGTTTTGAAAAGAAAGGTTTCATATAACTTTTCTCTTCAGCTTATTGTTCACTTACGTAATTCCACCGCCTTTGACGCGAACTCTTAATGGACGCGTAAAGATATAGCATGTCTGACGAGCGTTTGGTTTTAACGTTATAAAAAGCCGCTTTTCCGAGTAAGAATCATCGCTACTGCCACTGCTACCACTACTGCTACCACTGTTACTAGTGTTTGAGCCCCTCTCACTCGAGCGACTACCACTAGAACTGCTAGCGTTTGAACTACTGCCAGGAGAATTCATCCTAGTTCAATTTTCCTCTCGGTACGTAGAACGAGTCGTTTAGCGCAGAAACCAAGCCAGAATTCCATCTTTGCAATTCGTATATCATTTTAGACTAAACTTGTGTCGAAAACAAACTTTTGCAATCGAAGTTTTCTCGCGCTACGCAATGTTACGGTCAACATAAAAACTTCCTTTCAAGCTCATAAATAAATTATTAATTGTTACTTCAGATCGCAATCGGTGATGTTAAATATTTAGTACATTTCGGCCAATCATGAAGACATGGAGTTTACTCGACGAAGGCAATAAACACAAATCATATGAAAATAGATAAAACAAAAAAATATTGCTGTGTCTTTCAGAAACCGCGGGGTTTCGTTTAGCCAATTGCGTCATTCCATTAATCATCCTTGCAAAATCTACCGTGAAATGTAGCAAGTGTATCTATTTTTTTCCACTTTTGTTATCATTTATTGAACTCAGCTAATCCATTATCAAATTAGCTGCTACTTTAAAAGTAAGTAAAGATTATCTCACGAATAACACTTTGGCGTTGTGAAACGATCTGCAGGCAACCAATCCTTCTATAATTTCTCTCCACGTCGGTTATGAAAGTAAAATCAAAAACTTAAATTCCAAGATTAAAGAAACAAAGTGTTATTCCAAGATTAGAAGACCAAAGTTTGTCGATATAAAAAAAAACCTAAACCAAATACTACGATAAAAGTGTACATTGAAAAGAAAATAAAGAAAATTTCAGTGTTCGTGGTGTTTATCAGGAAATTGAAATTCGGCTTCCTCTAAATCCTCTGACCCTTAAAAGTGATTAGCATCTAATTTCTCCTTACAATATTACGTCGAAATCACACTTAAAGGTCACGAGAATAAAGGAACTGATCAACAACTAAAGAAGCTCTTGATTGTTGGACAAGTTCTCCAAAAAAAATTGCATTTGAAACTGAAGAATTGCCATAATTTGGAACTCGAAACATTCATTCTAAAAGGTTCAAACTTTCAGAGATTTACAAACATCTTTCTTTGTCATCTTTAAAACAAATTCGCTCGTTTTTCCGAAATGTTCCATAGCTTGTGGTCAAAAATAATTCTTTGAATTCCACGAGAAATCTTGGTAGTTAAGAATCTTTAATAAGACCGTGCATGTTGACAACAAGAGATGAGCTTCATGGTTCTACAACTCAATCTCAAAGAAACTTTCCGTCAAAACGAAATTCTATTTATCGCCTTGCTTTTGACTCTCGAATCACCCGATACAGGATGAGTAGAGCTCTCAAACTGATTTATCAAGACCATAAGGAGGCTAAAGCTTGCAACATCAGCTTTTGAAGATTGTCTCCCTTAATCAGCGTCGTGTTGATAACCAACCTAGTCTCATCTGCCCTCCGACCGCCCATCGATACAGCTTTTTGCAATCAAATAACTTCGTCCAATCGAGTTCCTCTGACGTGTACATTGTTTACGACAGTAAAAAAACAAATGTTAATATCAGCCTGTGGTCGAGAAAGTAGGTAAACCGGGCGTTCCTTTATCTTCAAATGCCAACTGGAAAAATGATAAAAACTTCTCAAATGTCCAGTTTACCTTTGGCGTTTTTTATCAAGTCTCGACACAATGTAAATAAGCGATTACTCAACGCGGAAAAGGATGCCGTTATCAGTAGAAAAGGACGAAAACTTCGTTTCCTTACATCCGTTATCTATCCTCGTGTACAGCTCTTCACCTCATTAATCCACTACTTTTACTGAAACGTAGCTCAAATTGGCCCGCGATGTGTCACTCTATTACGTACATGTAGTTAGTAGAGTTGTCCTCACGGTGACGCGGAAGTCCCGGGTGGCGATAAAATTACTCTAGGTTTTTTCCCAAAATTTCCTCCTTCTCATAGCTCCTACCAACAGAGAATCTTGCCTCAAGAAATTCCCCTTCAGGCAGACGAATGTTGAGCTAAGTTCGCAAACAGTATTTTGTCAGGTTTCCCACACTGGTACCATTTCATCGGCTTACATCACGATATTACTGCGCCATTTATTTACAAGGTAGCCGTAAACTTTTTCAATGAGACAACACCCAAGAGGTAAGATAAAACAAAAAGTAGACGAGGAGTACTTAGTAAGGATAACAAAACGCATTTCGATTCACCAAAGTAATTCCAACAGCCAATCAGAAGCTAGGAAATATCACGCAGAACCAAGGAGCCCAGTTAAAACACCCACATTGCCATAAGCACGTGAAACTCGGGTGACCAAAACGTCATAGATTTCAGTTTCGAATCTGATTGGTCGAAAAAGTAGCGAGAGTTTTCTAGACCAATCACAAAGCGAAGAAAAGCAAAACCAAACCAATCCCGGATCGCTTCAAAATTAACTTGAAATTGAAAATTACTTCATCGACACGGATTTTGAAGACTAAATTTATGTAGCTCCTTCGAAACTACTAAATACCTCTTGCCAGTACTTTAATCTGAATCTCTCGACCTCGCGTCTCGAGCAAAACATGCGATCCATTGGGAAACAGCGTCTGACACATTCGGCTAAATGTTACCATACTTACATGATGTTCGTGACATCTAGTGTCTTATTAGGCTCTGGTTCCCTGGGGTACTCTGGCAGGGAAGGTCGTTTCTTTCGTCCTCCACCGCAGAGAAATTTACTTCGGAGAGAATTGCCTCTCTCGCCAGCGTTCTGAAACACGAATTTTGACAAAGTATACGTGTTGCAGTGCAAATCAGAAGCATTTTTATAAAAGGAAAGTCAACGCCTAACATTGCCTAAGGAGTCTTCCTTATAATTTTTCTCTTTTTTTTTTCGGAGAGGGAAGGGGGGCGTTTTGGTTTTAGCAGAGGATATTTTCACTCGAAGGCGAATGGTAAGAATCCCGGATCAATATCAGTATCTGGGCAACTGCCCATCTACCCCTCCCCTAACCCAACATTAACCCTAACTTGTTATCAATTGATTATTTTTGAGTTAGGGGAGGGGTAGGTGGGCAGTTGCCCAGATACTGATATTGATCCAGAATCCCAACCTTCTTTTACAATCACTTTGATAAACCCTTTAGCCCTTGTGGGTGATTAGCATCCTATTTCTCCTAACAACATCACTGCTGAATAAAACATCAAGGTCAGGAGAATAAAGGAAATGATCACCAATTAAAACAGCTCTTGATTGTCGCAAAAAACCCTCCGTGTCAACACCATAGCAAATGTGTAAAGAGCGTCAGGTGGGAATTACCCGCGGATGACCCACAAATCACGAAAATTACAAATCATCAAGGTCCATAAAAATACACGCGTACACGTGCAAGTACGTGCCATCAATCACGTGAAAATCTTTCAATGCGCGTACTGCGACAGAAGGAAGTGTAACAAAACAGAAAGATTTCTTTGCACCCACAATGTTCTGCACGAGCATGAACTTTGCTGAATCGTTTGCAGAATCAATTTTAACCCTTTACAACCCTACATCTGTATGCACATTCTCCATACTGTTCTCCAAAAATTTCTCTAAGAGCCGACGTGGAGAATTTGTTCCACAATCAAAACTTCTTAACTGGCGATCATTTTCTTTATTCTCATGATCTTAGTGAATAGCAGTATCATTGTAAGGAGAAATTAGTTGTTGCTTACTCTTCACAGTGTTAAGGGTTAATATGAAGATGCTATTCAACAAGCGAGCACTAGAATATGGCCATGAATTGAAATTGTAAAAACAATTGTACAATTCAAATATTTATTTACCCAAGTGGAGTACTCTCGCACATCATGATCTTGTTTATGGCCCTGTGAAGACTTTCCTCTCCAGAAGCATTCCTGTTAAGTCAAACAACATGTCGGTTAATCTTCCTGTTACTAAATAGAGTCGTTTTCCATGACCTAACGCTACATTGAGGCATACAGGGTTCACACAAGGATTTTCCAGAACTCAGATTGATTTTCAAGGACTTCACCTTAAACCCTCTCGATCAAAATCAGTTCTCCTACCAGTCTACTTACAACTATTAAAGTGCAAATTGTGAAAACTTTGTTGCTCGAGTAAAGCAGATTTTCAGGATTTTCAGGATTTTCAGGATTTTCCAGGACTTGCAGTCTTTTCCAAGTCCTGGAAAATGTCAAAATAAAATTCCAGGACTTTCCAAGTTTTTCTAGGACCCATGCAAACCCTGATCATAAAAGAACTTGAAAATTACAGGCGCCTTACAGGCAGCAATCTACAATTACATTTGTGAGAGAATAAATAAAGGAACAAAGAGTGTACCTGACAGAGAGTGTAATTGTAACAGTGAAGACATTTGTACCTTAAAAAAAAGAGGAAACACGACTTTAAATGAACATCTAGTTGGTTCAATTATTGGAGAGAAGATTAAAGAATCAAGAGACAAGTTTCATACTGAACATGGCCACATAATGAAGACACCAGTATGTTGTCCTAAGTTGTGGAAACCTTTAAGTTTTTGGAAAGCTAGAAACACTTATTAACATGACTACAAGATTCACTTAATGATGACACTGTGTGTTTGTGTGAGTCAAAGTCTGCTTAAGCAATTGAAACATGATGTGCAATTTATGTAGCCATAATCACTTAACTTTATGATCTTTTAAGAATGATATACAGTACATGTATTTGAGAAATGCTACTGTATGCAAACTGGTAGGTGGGAATGCAGCACAAGCAAACTGGGAGGATGTAACGCATTTGCTAAACACACACAATGATAATGAAGGGTTTTCTCAAAGAGTACAACTTAGTCACGCCAAGCCAGTTCGTGAACCCAGACCTTCAATATAAAAGCTAACCAAGACAGACCAAGAAGACAACTGTGCCCCCTCAAGTAAAATAAAAACTGTAAGAGGTCCAGTTTTCCAGTAGTCTGACTAACTCACACAAAGACAGAGAGACCAAGAAGGCAACTGTGCCCCCCTCAAGTAAAATAAAAACTGTAAGAGGTCCAGTTTTCCAGTAGTCTGACTAACTCACACAAAGACAGAGAGACCAAGAAGACAATGGTGCCCCCTCAAGTAAAATAAAAACTGTGAGAGGTCCAGTTTTCCAGTGTTCTCAAACAATCACACAAAGGCAACTTCCACCTTTTATTTCCTAATTTTGGCAGATGATTTTTTTATACCTGTACCTGTATATTTACTAAAACACATCACTTTACCTGAAGCCCACAACAGGCTTTGTCTTGCAAACTTGACAAGGAATTTGATGTTCACCTGAAGATAAGAAGAAAATGAAAATTCAATCTCTGCAAAAAAATACTGAAAAAACACTAAAAATAAACTGAAATTATGGATCAATACTCCTCGCCTAAAAACATCATCTCTAACTCTTCCTTACCATTCTCCTCTCATTCTCCCTTTTACCTCTTTGCTCACCCTGCCCATGCCCTTTCCTCTGAACAGACTTTCCCCGTTTGCTCAGACAAAGGGCTAACACTCAAATGTCAGCTTTGAACTCTTTACAACAGGCAATTTACATTGTCAACCTAGTTGATAAAACCAAATTATCTTGTTTCCGCTACTCAAACTGTTCATGTCTTGTGTGCTAAAAACCCTTCATGGTCCCAAACAGCAATGAGAAGAAAGAAAACCAAAAACATAACAACAAGGTATGTTCATGCATAAAACTTACATTTTGCAGCATTGGCCATTTTCTGCATGGTTCCAAGCCAAACATAGCAAAGGGGAGCATCAGTGCCCATGACACACTCAAGAAAATTAAGAAGAACTGTTTCATTTCTTTTCAAGGGCTAAAATAAGAAAAAACACCAAATCAGTGAGGGATAACACTGTATTTAACTGTACACAGTACTTGCACTTTATATATTGAGGAATGTCAACAGTACATGTATACATAAACAGTTAAACACCAAGCACTGTGTAATAACAAATAGGTTAAATCTTTTTAGATTATGGTGAACATTTTCAATTGCAATATAAATATTTTAGTTACCACTTCAGGGAAAAGTTTGAACAAATAAGTTACATAATTTTGTGAAATTTATGCTATGTTGTGAATATCCTAGCTGTGACTGTTTACTTATTTATTTATTTAGCTTCGCCTAATTATCTCAGGCAGGGAGACCACTGCAGCTTTAGCCAATTACAGTGGATCCCACATTAACAATAACAAGGCCAGACCCCCCCCCCCAAATTTCCAGTAAAAAGGCCAGACCACATCACAGTAATCTCACGAGTGAGTTCTTTAACATCCCCTGCCTAACCAAATTGACTAATTAATAGAAGCAGGAGACGGGACCTACGGTTTATTCATCCTTATCCGAGAAGACTAGAATGTCTATCCATTTCTTGATATTATAGAAAGGTAGCACATTCTCCTCAGTTATTTTAAGACCTTAAGCGTTGGTCCGACCCTTGACCTCCCGCACAACAGTCCAGCGCTCTAACCAATTGAGCTAACAGCTTTTCTTTTAATTCATGTCAACCCTCTTAACTCTTTACACCCTTACACAAGAATGCAATTCTCTATACTGTTCACTATAAATTTCCTAAGATGTTGACAAGGAGAATTTGTTTAACAATCAAGAGCATCTTTAGTTGGTGATCATTTCCTTTATTCTCATGACTTGAATGAGTGATCCAGAGGTAATAATGTAGGGAGAAATTAGATGCTAACTACTCTTAGGGGTCAAAGGGCTAGGGAAACTACAAAAGGGATCATTCAAAGAAGATAAAACTGTTGTGTTGGTATCTTGAATCAGTCTCAATTAGCTTGATGAGTGGCGAGTCTTAAACAAACTTGAACTACATGTATCCTGCTGTAAATTTTTCCATTCCCATTTTGCGAGCAATTTGGTTTACATTGATCAATGATTTGACAAATATTGAAACAAAAAGCAAATCCCATTTCTCTTAAAAATTTGCATACAAGTCAGAGCAAGACATAGTCGTGACAGGTTATCATACTGCAACAAAACACCATTAAAATAAGCAAGTAGAACTTATCAGTTTTTGAATAAATGGTGAGATGAATGAACCAGTTTTCGAGAACAGCATGTTCACCGATGACAAAAGCTACGATAAAAGCTATAGGCAGACAGAGGAAAGTGACAATCAATATTCCTACCCCATCAGGACTGAAGAACCTGACCACAATCTCTTCAGAGAAACCAAATGTGGGTGCCTCTCCAACCGCTGCAGGGAGCTAAGAAAAGTGAGAACAAACATCAAACTTTCATGATACTGTAGTTAAAAATTAGTGAATGCGTCATTTTATAATTTCTTTCAGAGGGGTCAACCTGAACAAGATCTGAGTGGCTCATGCTTTTACAATTCAACCTGCATTTCTGATGCATTGTGTGACTACATGTATGACTGTTGCCTTTGAGCAGGTTCTTATCAGCCAATTGATACAGGAGTGGCAGAAGCCACTGATTCTGAGCCAGCAGTGATGCAAGCATGCAAAAGATCTGCAGGTTTTTGGCAAGAAAAGTTTTAGTGCCAGATCCCTCAGAAACCTCTCTGATGCTTGTCTTGCTGGTTGGCTCCAACCTTGCAGGCTTTGTTTCTGGTCCTGCAGTAACAGGAGGCGGCCTGGCCGAGTGGTTAGGGTGCTGGACTTGTAATCTAGTGGCCCTGGGTTCAAGCCCTCCACCTGACTACTCATTAGATTTTTTCTTGGTTGCCCTGAGTTAAAATCCTCGCCTGCACTGTGTAAATAGCCAACTGGTCTGCCTCCTGCCAGTAGGGATTTACAAGCACTTTATTTCTATATTAATTATTTGTTTCTCTCTTTGCGTGTATGAGCATATGTTAAGACTATGTGTGTGTTATACATGTAAGTATTAAATTTATTACTATTTTTTTTATTAGAACTGACAGCCTGGTTAAAGGCTGTACTACAAAAGTTTAGAATCTAGTTCATAATATTTATCTTTATGAACATCTCCACAGACCTGCAATAATTCCCTTAAGTAAGCTTCAAACTTGGGGAAGTTCAAATAACCTCTGTCATCCTCAATTTGTGAAAAATGATCTGAAAAGTGAAATACGCAAAAGGAAAGGTTACTTATCAATAATTAAACATTAAGCTAAATGCATGGGCACATTTGTCAAGAGCTCTTTTATGACTAAATTAACAATGAGCAAAAGATTAAATAATAAATCAAATACATTTTTACCACATTTGATTAATAGGTCAAGAATAAAAAGTTCTTACATCTCAATTTATCTATGAGACGTCCAGCACAGAGTGTAGAAAGAGCAGTTTTCACTGACAGCACTCTGATTCTACCTATGGCATCACTGAAAACAAAAAAAGAGCAACATACCAATCAAGTTCCTGCCAATCATAGGGGAAAAAACCATCATACATGTATCAAATTATTAATTATTGCAGAAACCTACAGAGTAGAAGAGAAAAGAAAAGAGCAGAAATAGCCACAGGGGCACTAAAATTAAGAGAAAACTAACTACAAAGAAAGTCAATTTTTGGCAGAGATGATGAGACTTGCCTGTCATGTAGTCTCCCTCACAACTTGGTAACAATTAAAAATAATTTCCTTTTTTCCAAAAATTTTTTTGTTCAGAAACTTCAACTACATCAACCAATATAACCAAATTTTAGCCAATTCCTCCCAATTTTCAGAAACAAGTACAATGTATTCAAAATGTTTTCCCAAAGCTTTGTTTAAAAAACAGTAAATGGGTTCAAATTGCACGATGTTCTTCAAAAAAATTTCACCCTTAACCTTACCTGTCATACGCATAGAGAAGCCAGTTGGTGACCAGACTTATGGATCGTTCTACATCAATGTAGTTAGTTGTGGGAAGCCGTTTGTTCAGAGCATAAAAAATACTTGATACAATTGCTTCCAGCCTTGTTTCATGGAGCTCTGTGTTGTGGTCGAGAGTATTCAGGCCATTTTCTCGAAATGCTTCAATCATGTTAAACACATCAACCAAGTGCACTGTGTGTAAGGAAAATAGAGTAATTAGTTGCAGCAATGTTATAAATTAGTCTGGACATCAAGCTAAGCAAGCCTTTGGGGAAGAATTGTAGGTATACTCTCAGAACAGCATCTGAATATCAAGTCTAAAGGGTGATGTGTAGTGGACTTTCTGCTTTTAAGATGAGTAAAAATCACCTGGTAAAAGTATCATATATCATATACCATGTACTCACAGTTGGTTTTGTTTTGAATGAAGAGCAGTTTTGCTGCTGTCCTGTAAGCTGCAAATCTTATTTCATCAAAACTCTCCTCATCTACAAAAGGCACACAAAACAAAGAGGAAAAAGCACATTAAAAAATGAATGCATCATATCTCACCATGAACATATTAGAAGACACTCTTTATATTTAGCAATAACAATAGTTACATTACAGAGATAACGTAATGCATGTATGGTTTAACCCTTTAACTCCCATGAGTGATGAAGACAGAATTTCTCCTTATAATATCAGTGCAATATCAACCAGATAAGTAATGAGAATAAAAAAAAAATATCAATTTGGGGATAATTATTTGATCCAATACTAAAGTCTCCGAACTAACATTATTAGAATTGTATGGTTGACAGTAAAGAGATTGACAAATTTGATCTGGAAGTTTAAGGGTTAAACTCCAAAATACCATAGTGTATATTGATTCTTCACACTGTCAGCTGGACACATCTACTGTAAGTTCTGAGAATTTGTTGTTCCATCAAAAAACATTCTTAGGTTGATTTTTTTTGTCTTTTTTTTCTCTTGGCCATTAAGCTTGACAGTAAGAATGGATTTTGAAAAGATAAATTTCTCTTTTGATCACCCCAGGGATTGGAAGTATGAACAACACTCTAGCACTTGTTCTATTATCAAATATTACTTACTCATCTCATGAAACAGATCTTGAAGGAGCTGATCAGCTTCATCCTTGGGTATAGATTCATTCAAGATGCTGAAAAGAATTAATTAATTCAAGCATATAAGGTTTACATGGAATAAAGCTGTTTGATATTATCCAATTACTAGCTCTTCCCAATAGGTTTTTTTCTTGACTACCCTTGCATTTAGTTTGCTTTTCACTTATAGACTTGGTTAGATATCCTTTTGGATTGCATTTCAGTTAGTATTCTTGTTTCAATGTCACCAATACCACTTGTTAAAAGAATTTCACCTGGCACATGTGAAAGATATGATGTAAACTATAAATTCAATTTCTACAGAGTAGATCTTGTACATTCTGTAATCTGAAGTACAATGTGTACATGCTTTTTATTTCAATCTGAGGTACAAACTGCAAAGGACTACCTACCAAAAAAAAAGCACTAAAATCTATGATTAAGCAGAGTGCAAATTAACCCTTTCTCTCCCATGAGTGACCAAGACAGAATTTCTCCTAACAATATCAATACAATATCAACCAGATAAGTGATGAGAATAAAGAAAAATATCAATTTGGGGATACTTAGTTGATCCAATATTAAATTCCCTGAACTAACATTATAAGAATTGTATGGTTAACAATAGGGAGAATTACAAATTTGATCTGGGACTTGAAGGGTTAAGAACAGGACTACTTGGACGATTGGTTTAAACTCTTTTAAGACATTTGTGAACATGATACCAATAAAAGTAGACTCCCAACCAAATGATGTCAGTATAAACCCTGGCAAAGTTCAATATGACATGTTCTAGAGTGAGATTCTTGATTTTCATCTGCTCTCCAATCAGGAATATAAGGAAAAGCTGGTCTTTTGCGAGCATAAACCCGACAATTTGGGTTAAAAAGTAATAAAACAGCATCTCATCTGGAAAAAAGCAACAACCATGGCTGTTTTAAGCCTTTGAAGCAGAGATATAATATAACTTGTGGTGAATACAGCTTGCCTTTGTGCAAACTCAAGTCTAAGTCACCAAACATTAAGCTAACTTATCCCAGACTTATTCCACTAAAAATAACTCATAATTAATTACTCATCTGTATACCTATTCACAAAGCTATCATTGGAAGCATTTGAGTGAAAAAGGATGTGGATACTATAAAACTAACCAATAAACTCACATGGCAAAGAACAAAAATTCAATAGAAAGGGTGATCAAGCTGGTAACTTCTTTAAAAGTAATAAATATATGCTGAAATACAGTGAAATCTACTGTTCTAATTCATTTATTCAAGTCTAGCACCACAAATACCCCAGTTCTCTCTTTGTGAAATAAGCTTAATTGATTTCTTTGTCTGTCAAACTCAATTCATGCATCCCAAAATTTACACTGTCTATAAGACGGATTTCTTTAATTTTCAAATTAAATTCGAGGCTAATAATTACTTGAAGTATATGAGAAACCAGTGTCAGCTTCTTTATTAAGAATGATTACTATCCACACAAAAATAATCCTCCTGCTTGAGGAAAATTATTGGGTTATTTTAAGAAATTAGAATTGGATTGTATCCCTAGGCAAAGTAAGACATGATTTTCAGTTTTTACAACAAAATAATGTAAACAAGTTCACTCACTTGCCAGCCAAGATAGGTGAGGTAGTTGCTTCCATCATTTTCCTAAAAGGCAAAGAAAGTCATTTGAGCACATTAAAAAGAATCACCTATGTAAACATGATTGAACTCACAACTGCTTTGTTTTAGGGTTAAACTGTACAGAAGACTCTTGACTTAATTTAGCCTCCTTCATTTTGACCTCACTAACAAGACAGAAAGTTGTCACAATTCTTTATTAACGGTACACAATGCGCCTCTTAGACGTGAATATCTTGAAAAGATGTCCCTGTTTGTGTTACCCTGAAATATTCTTTATCCAGTATTTATATTTGCCCTGAGGCCAATTCACAGGAATTAATTTAATCTGCTTAACTGAAAAATGTACAATACTATCGTGCAACAAAACCCACCGCCTAGATTACATCTAAATGTATTTTTGCGCAAAAACGGATGGTAGTAGGGAAAACATTTCTGTGTAAACATCAGTGAAAGCCTTGGTACATCTTTCGAATAACTCCTATAAATTAATTAAGGTTTCGCAAACTTGATAGGCCTTAAATTGATTTTTTTTTAGAAAATTCAAATATAACTTCAAGATATCGAAATAAATCGTATGGCACTAATAAGTATAATCTATATTCATGGGAGCGTAAGAAATATCCCTGATTTTATTCGGATTTAATCGCAGATCGATCAACCATAATATTCAGTTGTGATCTCTCATCGCAATTCAAAACATCCAAAAGGCGTCGACTCGGGTAGGGTCATTTCGCTTCAGTTAACTAAAATTAGCACTTTTTACATAAACTAGAATCAATAAAATACGGTTAAAAACAAGAAACTAGATCTACAACGACATGAAGACTTGGAAAATGGAAACAGATGCGCGCCTTTGATATGTCCCCTCAACATTGTGCTTATTATGTGTTCAGTTGTCAGTTTGAAGAGATTCAAGACACTTCTACAAAAACATATACTGCTAAACCTACGCCCTGTAAAAAAAAAATTTCCTAAGAACATTCCAAAACGGAAAAAGTAGTAATTAAAAAAAAAGAATGCTTGTAATCAAGAAGTACACTGAACACTTGTTCGTAGCAGAAGCTTCTGCGCGGATTTCCGGTCAACGATTCGTGTTGAATATGTGCACATTTTACTACAATTTCTCTTACGGTACTGAGGCAAATTTCGCTGTCATATCGAATTAAAAGCGAGAATTACCGAACGAACAATATTTCTTTCAGTGCAGCGCTTAATCCGACAAGGTTGGTGATTACCTTATGATCATACCTCGCTGTGCAGGTACAAAATATTATCATAACAACGTTGATTCTTTAAAACCTGATGCACTTATTCATAAACATCATAGCCCTTTCAATATTCACCAGCAGTCGGAAACGATGCGCCAACTTATTCAGTACGAAAGAATTCTTCGCGCTATTTGAATCAAATTCCAGTGCGTACGATTGCCATTTTTTTGCGGTCAAGCCATCAAAAAGGCATCAAGTTCGGTACTATTCCAACAAATATAAGTACCAAACCGTAAATCCATACCTTAGATTGTACGTCGAAAACAGATATTCTTTCCTTCAAATCTTCAACGTCAACCAGTCTGACGGTCTCAATTCCGCCATTTGAAGCCTTCCTTCGCCATAATCTTCACCGAGCCTTATCTTTGTCACGTGACTTATGTTTCCATACCAAGAACATTTCCCGTGACCAATCAATAGTTATAGTAAAGAGAGCAAAGGTTATCAATTATCGAGGTCATGAAAAACCACAAAATGAGTTGATGCAAACGAAAACTTTCGAATTCAGCAAATTAATTCATGTCTAAGCTTTCTTTTTTATTATTTCTTTGAGACAGCTTTCAGCACTTCTACACGCAACGCGTGGAAATCTGAGCTCGCAGAGATTGCGTGACATTATGTAAAGATGAGATTCCTTCAGCCAATATTTCGATCGAGCAGTCAGATCTTCTTAGCCGGAAGGGCTGTTACTGGTAATAGTGACTGACATTTTAACAAACTTAGCGGAAGTCATCATTAGAGTCGAATAGAGATTTATTATTGTCGGTCAAGTGTTACAAGTCCGGTTTGCGTAAACTGATTGGTCAGTTTGGCCGTGACGTTATGGTGCATAGTCTGTCCTGATTGGTCACATGCATCGAAATGTTAAGTTGTCCTATTCGGTTCGTCTGAAGAGTAAATTTCATTAATAAATCATTTGTATTGTGTCAGTAGTTGGTGACAGCTGTTGAGCCAATGTGTCATCAGCATATTCTTAAAATTTTGGTCAATCTCAGCCTTAAAGTTTTCATCCATGGGAGCTTACAAATAATAAAGAGTGTAAACCATTCTTATCAAAGTTCTTTGTAAAATCTAGATAAGATAGGTATTGTTGGTGGCACATATTGCTTGTAGCAGTATGCCACATAGCCTAAGTATGTGACAAGCAACTTGGTACTACATTACAGCAAAAATTTCACTTTAATGGGCTTCCTGATCACGTCCATATCTCACTATTAAGTTGATAAGTACATTCAACAGAGGAAACATCTTAGTATTATTTTCAAGCCTTAATCTCCGGAAAAGAAAAACGAACTTTCAGCCTCAGCTCCAACATAGTAATAACAATGATTATTATTATTATGTTCCTTCAAATATTTTTGCACGGACCAGTCTGCACGCAGCACGCGACTCGCGACTGAACATCCCCCATCTCTCTCCCCTCTCCCCTCCCTCCCTCTCCCCTCTCCCCTCCCTCTCCCCTCCCCTCCCTCTCTACCCCTCTCCCTCTCCCCCTCTCCCGTCTCCCCCTCCCTCTCCCCTCTCCCCCTCTCCCCTCTCCATCTCCCCTCTCCCTCTCCCCCTCTACCCCTCTCCCTCTCCCCCTCTTTCATAAGTTTACTTTAGATTCATATCTGAGGAGCGGATTCAGGATTCTGACAAGCAAGATGCTATGAGACAAGACTTGCGCACGCGCAACTAGCCAAAAGAAAAGAGTAGGCCAGTGAGATGTAACGTTATCTCATCCAGATTTTCAAATCGGGGCAAAGTTCATAAGCACAGACTCAAGTAGCATATCAATAGAATAGACATGTTCATAGTACCAGCAAATGAAGATTGAAACACTGAAGGTTTTTATTATATGACGATATTACTCCTGTGTTTTTTGCTTTCTACACTTCTATTGGCTGCTCTCCTTCGTCTTCGCATTTGACTTTATGCGTCGATCGTTTCCTCAGGTTCACTTGGTGTGGCTGAAAAAGACATTATAACATCCTTTTTTTTCCCATTCACTTATGACAGGCTATCGGCCAAGGGAGACGAACGGAAAAAAGGGGATACGCAAAAAGCGCCGAAGTTCAAGCACTCTTAGTTCCTTCCTTGCAAATACGCTGTAGAAAAGGCGTGGTGTCGTAATTGTCAAAGTGCCGAAGTCTCCAGTTAGCCCCATGCTAGGTACTTAACCATTTTTTACCATCACAGTGTCTCTCTCTCTACCCGGTAGTACAAATAGATGAGTATATTTGCATCCAATTCAGTTGAAGTAAATAATCCGATTTTCACTCAGAGCCGCGGAAACTGGGTTGGGGGAAAAACTTTATACTTTCCTCATGCGCTAATTGTTTGGATTAAAAATGAACTTTCATCCTCAAAAAGCCCCACATGTAAATCTGAAGTTAAGTCATAACTCCTGGAAATCTTAAATTTACAAGTTTTACCAACACTTGCCCTGTTTAGGCTCTTTTTTTCCTCATTCAGAGCATTTCAAGGCGCGCTTTTTTTCAAATTTGCCATTTCTCAGTTATGAATAAGTAATGACGTCCATGCATTCTGCGCGACGAATTTTGCTTTCTCATTTCTTCACTTTCTTAGACTTCCACGCCATAGCGATACAGTATTCCGAGATTTCCATCCACTAAGGATTACAAAAAACATTTAATGGATGGTAAAATACAAAAGCTTATTAAAAGTATTTTCCCCTACCAGATTTCCAACTGCTATCGAAGGCTCCAATATTCTCATTGAATACTGCAGTTACAGTTTGGTCACCCTGTGTAACCTCAACCTAAAAGAAAAAAAACAAACCAAAACACTTATTAAGACTAAACAGCGCTAAGTAACTGACTGGAAAAGTGTAAAGAGCGTAAATGATGATGTCTCTTCATTACAACTACTGTACCTTTCTTAGTTCCCAGCCTGCCTGACCTTGGATTCGTCTGTCTGATCTGATTCTCACCTCTGTGATGCCTCCAACATCTATGTCACTGAACTCGTAACTGAGTGATACTCTGAAGACGTAAAAATTCCGAAGAATTTTTTGGTAATTTGATTTGTTCCACCACTGAGATGAAAGGCAGGAAGGAATGTGGATAAAGCGATTTTCTAAGTGAAAGGGCTAATATCCTACCCTTGTGTTGTCTCAGGAGCAGTTAATAACTGTTCTTCTGTCATTTTTCCATCAGTTCCTATGATCATGGTGAACAGACGAAACTCCGACGTGATGATCCTTGTATCAGGGGTGAAAACAACCACCGTGTAGGGAACTTCGATGTAAAAATATTAACGATCATAAGAAAAATAACAAAGATAATGATAATGACAACAACAACTAAAGGACAATAAAAATGATGATGATTATCACAACGATAATGATAGTGATAATGATAATGAGTGTGAGAGTGACGATGATGATGACGATGACGATAACGATAACGTTAACGTTAACGTTAACAATAACGTTAACGATAGCGATAACGATAATGTCAACGATAACGATAAGGTTAACGATAACGTTAACAATAACGATAATGAAAATGATTACGTTAACGATAATAATAATGATCTTGATGTTAATCATAAAAATACCAATCCAGTTGGCATTGATCTTATGACATATTGAGATACTAGGGAAATGTCGCCTAACAATGTTGACGAATGAATACAACTAACTAGAAAATTAAACTTAAACTTCTCACCGCGACAGACCAATAATCGTCTAACCCGAAAGGCGAGGCGGTCGGCAATTTTGTTCAGGTTTGCCTCAGTAAATTCCACGTTGATTGCATCATTTGGCTCGGACACAATGCTTTTCAACTGATCTATTCGCTGTGTGTTGTTTACGTTGGGAATAAGAGCACCCACAAGATTGATGTCGTTTTCGACTCTCAGCACCTTTTCTGCATTTAGGAGTTTGAAGGTGTCCAACAAACGACCATCACCATCTTCCGTGTTTCCGTCGGTGAAGAGCACAACGATCTGAAATTTAAATTAAGGAGATAAACGCAATTTCCAAAGACATTTTCAAATGAAGTGATAGCGAATTTCTTATTTCAGTATAACACTGATGTTGCCCCTGCCCCACCCCTCCATCCCAAAATCCTGAACACACCCCTATACCTTCGCTGGATCTTTACCCTTCCTGTAAGCTGAACGTTCGTCGAACTTCTTTGGGACTTTTTTCTTCAGGACGCGATTTAAGCGGTTGTAGGGGCCAAGTCCTCCTTTGAGGTATTCGTAATTCACGTAGTAGATTGCACTAGCTGCTGAACCCCAACTATTCATTTTGTCTTTTGAACCGTATCTTCCCATCACAAACTTGTAGTCAGTGTCATCGCTGTTCAGTGAAGTCAGTAGCGTTCTCACTATACATTGTATACTTGAACGAATCCCTTCAGAAATGCTCCGGCTGTCTTGGATCAAGACGATAACATCTGCCTTGGTCTTGCATAAACCACCGGCTGAAATTATGAGCAGAACAAGAGAGGATCAAACCAAGAGAGAAAAGATCCGGCCACAATCACAAAATAACTGATCGAAAAGTATAAAAAAAAACACATTGAAGGTTGTACATTTTTCCGAATACTTGTTACGTGTCTTTCACGTAGCAAATTTCTCATGCATACTTAAATGATGTGAAATGAGTTTGAAAACCATACGTAGACTGTGCCAAAGATTTTATCCTTTACGAGAGTCTAAGCACACTCAAAATTCGTTTCCCCTTTATAAAAAATATTAATTTTTTTCCCTGCACACAAAAACTCGTTTAATATCACCAATCTTAACAATATGCAGCACTATGAAGCAATATCTGGCTGGATTCGGGATCTTGTGAGTTCAACTTCTGATCGTAAAATTCAGTTTCCCTTTCACCGCTAATTTCTTAAAAACATGATGTTTCCTAAGTCAAGTTGAAATGTTACTTGTGATAGGGCAAAATCCTGGATTGCTTGTCGTCCATCCAACGTAGGTTGTTAAGTTAAGGACATTCTGAAACTTTTTAAAGCACCGGAGTAGCTCCGTATCGCAAAGACATACAGCATAACCACACTTCCCTACTTCGACATCATTCGAATCATATTCACTCGCGGGAGCTAAAAAGAAAAGAATGGTATTAATACTTTTAAGGGGGGATATTCCGTTTGTCTCATTTTACAGATTTCTACAAATTTTTAATTATTTTTAGCAATTTTGCGTGAGCTAGGTTATTTCTTATGTTTTCTTTAGAAGACGACGAAACGACGTTGGATCGCTGTGTTCTTGCCATTGAAAATTTTCCAGAAATACTCTCGCGTGCTCTCGATCCAATTCAATCTTTTTCATATCGCGTGACTGAAGCGACACAGGTGACTGCGACGAAAGGTAGGAGCTAAGGACTTGGGCCACATGAAACACACAACGACAAAACCTAACGAGGCTATTACACACAAAAAACATCTGAAAATACTTACTGCACGTGTCGGTAGACGCGTTGTACTCAAATCTGTTTTCCAAATTGAAAAAGTTACCACCACATTTTGCCGGTTGAACTAAGTCAAGCTCGCAAAAATCATGGGCCTTGCAACAACTGAAGTTAAAAGAAAAATAGAAGATAAATGAAGATCATCCACGAAAAAGGAAAATGAAACTGGAAATGGACAGCAAGAGTGAACGCAGAATGCTGGTAAGAGATCGGATGATGCCACAAAAAGAGGAAAAAAAGGTTGAGGTCGTTTGTCTCGCTCTTTACTCATTTTAGAGTATGAATCACAAAGTTTCCACAGTATGCTGCGCGTCCCTTCAACATTCTTCTCCCTCAACTTACAAATCAAAGTTATCCACGGTTTTTCCAAATCCACCAGCGCCACACCAACAGCCGTAGTTGAAAATACTGTAAGCCTGTAGTAGAGTAAGACCCAACCTTTCTTGCACCAATCCTGCAACTTGTTCAATTCTTGGGTTGAAGCCAAGTGACTTTTTCTCCCATTTATGTGCTGGTGAAAAAAATATTGCATGGTCAGTTTTCGTCGTCTTAGTTGATTAATGACCGTTTGATCGCTTGTCTCCCAATTACGGTTTATATCTCTTACTAAACGGGTTTGTGGTCCGCACTGTAAGTTACAGACCGAGTTTTTCCGCTCGAGTTTCTGGCCCAAGCGCGAAGGGCGCGGGCCAATAATCCGAGTGAAAAAATCGAAGCTCTGTACTCGAGACCGAGAAAACGAGGTTAGTAAGATATTTATATTATCTCTGGGTTAAAACAGAATTGGAAGATTTTAATTCAAACAAACTTGAAATTAGCGCGCCGTACATTAAATTACGGCCTGCTAAATTAACCAATCATACTGCTCGCGCTAAATAAGAGATGTAATATTATTCTTTATTACCAGACTTGAATACTTTCAATTGGGGTCAATAACTACGCATTTCGCCACATACGGCATGCTGCACGACAGAAAAACATATCCTAATGAGACTTAACACACTTTTTAAAATCCACCAGCAGTCTATCAAGATTGCTGCAATCTCATTGGCTATGCTACTTTTTATTCCGTGATAGACTACGAGTGTCATAGCCTACTAGATTACAGCATTTGGTCGAGAAGAGTGAAAAACCTAACAGTGCATGGTTGTAAACAGAAGAAAATAAACAACATGAGCCTGCCATGTTGTTACTTTTTCAACGACTAGTAAATTTATATCACTACAATTAGATAATTCGTGCTCGATTTATGTACATGATAGTTGATTCGGGCTTCAAGTATCATGCGACAAAAGATCTCAAAACCACGATATAATTGATAAACAGGAAAGCAGAAAGATTTATTTTTTTAATCGAAGTGGACAACTGCATTGCAAATTTATCTGTTTTCTTATCTGGGCCAAGTTGTTCAAAAGGTGAATAACGCAATCCAACGGATAAATCACTATCCAGCGGATAAGTGTTAACGAAACATATTGCGCTGCCCGGCGGATAGGAATTTATCCGTTGGATAGCGTTATCCACTCTTTGAACAACCGGGGCCTGGAACTGAATCATGATGATTTCTTTTCGCTAAGACAGGATTGCATGCGCACCTTATTTTTCTTCAAATTCGTGATTTAACAATGATTATGATATTCATAATCATAACAATCATGATAATAATGATGATGATAATGATAATAATGATAACAATAACAAAAATCTTGAATGAGCACTCCTGAAAGGGCTTTGTAAGGACAATGTACAAACAAAAACTTTTTATTTTTAAATACACATAAAATGGCTGAAAATCCCAACTGGTGCGGAGAAGCCAACCAATTGCCTATTTACATAGGCAGCCATGGAGTTGACCCGGGGACAACTGAGAACAATGGCTGGCAAGTTACATGGTTGAGGACTCGAAAATACGATTAGCAGAAAACAAGTCCAATGCTTTAACCAATGAGCTACGCTGCCTACTCTAGCGTATTCTACAGTCTCTAGAACAGGTTTTAGTTTCTGATCTTATAATCACTAAATTGATATTTTAAATACTACATTAATTTTAACAGCTATTCGTTGGCTAAGAAAACCTCCCATGTCCCAACCATTCCACCCTCCACCCAAAAACAGACTTACCTTTAGTCAGACCGCCACTTATGGATGAGGCTAAGCCTATAAAATAAGGATGCGGGTAACGAATTGACATGGAATTATTTCAAGGATAATAAACGTAAAAACCTTCATTTGGCGCGAAAATATGTTCCCATATTTGTCTTTGGACATTTTCTGTTCCTCGATTCTCACAATATTCATGGTGTCCCTAAACAAATTTCAGTGCATATTTTTGCGCTAAATGGAAGAGACTGTTTTTATTTGTTCTGATTGTCTTACGTTATTTCTTTAGCAGTTTAGCTTTCTTGGTCTTATCACACCCAATAAAAATGTGCTCTTTCGTGCGTTCCTCGTTCCATAGGGAGATTTATAAGACAGAGAAGAGTCTCACGTCAATAATTTCAATTTCAATTCGATGTCTTGTTATTTGAAGTTTTTCGCTTTGCGACATCCATGTAATTAGCGCTGTGTCACTGAAATTTGTGCGAAACATTGCCATTGATCCTTTTATGAATCATACAACATTAACTGAGGTTACCAGAGTTTAGGTCCATTAGAAGAAATGCAATTCCCACAAACACACACAGAATACTCATCGTTCCAAAATGATCCTGTAGAAGAAGGCGCAAGTTATAAAAGTTACCAAAATTTATATAATTTTCCCTCGTACAAATCTTACAAAGAGCACAGTATTGACAACTAACTAAAACAAATTTCTCAGTGACATTCTGCTATTTAAATCTGAATTCAGAGGGGACATGGTCTACATGTAATCATTTATAAGGGACATCTTTACAACATTTTGCGAAAACAAATTTAAGTGTTGCTACTTTTCTTCACTTAAAATGGCAAAAAAAATCAAATCCTAGAACTGCTTACGTTAGAGCATACTGAAATACGATTTCATTTCAAATTGGACTGCAAAATAATAAACGACGATCTTTTTCAATATACTTACGTTGACAGAAACTAAATTTCTGAGTTCCTCCTCAATTTCGTTTAACTGTGACCGTGCTAAACTACCGGTTGAGTCTGTAGGCCACTGAGGCTACGAGTAATAATTATGTATACCAACTATACTAAGAATAATGCGTGCAACTCATTGGAATTGTTATCTATGGTTGTCGACCTAGTGAACTGGTCCCCTCCCACGTTTGAATCATTCAAACCTCTCGTCAAATGTTGAAAATATTCTCCCACGCATTACCCCCCAAAAAGGTGATGTAACTACTCTCTCCTTAAGAGTGAACTTCTTAAGGGCCCTTGGCTTTGCAACGGTAACGAGATTGAGAAAAGCAAGGAAATAGAGGGTGATACCGCTTCTCGAAATAGGTATTGTAGTCATTCAGTTAGCTGTAAGCGAACGCTTCCCAATTCGATCATCAAGTTTGAGTCTCCGAGACCAGCATTCGTGGATGGTGATCTTGCTGGTGTGCGTGGGATTTAACCGGTGATCCAATTGGTTATAATGTAATAAATGGAGAGCATAACAGCAAAGACAAAAGTAGAATCAACGTTTTAAGATTTTGTCATGCAAACCCTCGTTGGGTCCATTGAATATTTACGCTGATATGGGATCGACAGCGTAGAAGATTCAGTAGTTATGCTTACGAAAATTGAACTAAAGCCAATGCAATAATCTGCAGTCAAGTGTTCTTTGTTCAGGGGAGTGCACTATTTGGTTTGGTAGCACAGTGGTCAATATGAGACGACGAGGGAAAAAAGAACGCCTGATGCAATTACTTCTCCCAAGATGTTCTTTTTCACTTGCTATTCACGATCAGCCTGCCGATTCTTGTGCTCTTTTACCATTCACTAAAGGAACATCTTTTACTATTCATTAGAGGAACATCTTGATTGATTGTTTTTTGGCCCTAATCCTGGGAAAAATAATCCAGAAGAAAGAAAATTGGAATTCCATGAGTAACAGTGGAAAAAAGGAAAGAAAGAAAAAAAAGCGTTAAAAATTCCCACCTCGCCCCATGATCTATCTCTGAAGTGCGGATTTAGGAGTTGGACGAGCGCGATCAATCAATCGATCATTCAGTCAATCACTAAACTCTACTTAACCACGGGCAATCCATCAGCTGTTTATAAAAAGGATCAAACTATGACTACACAACTATAACTATGAACTACACTATATTAAGAAGCTACCTTCCGTGACTGCCGTGCCTTAGAGAACTTTGATGATTGCGCGTCTAAACGACGTGAGCGATTCCGCACAAATAGCTTCGCAAGGGAGGCTATTCCATAATGTGGCGCCACTATAACTAAAACTATTTTTGGAATAATGTGGGCGTAGTAATCGAACATAAAGTTGGTTCTCGGAGTCCCTCAGTTCGTAGCATGTATTGCGTTCAGTGAATTTCGATGTCAAATAGTCTGGAGCTAACCCATACAGGTAGGCATTTGAATACCATGGTGGCCATGTTCTGCTAGCGGTCAAGATTTTTCCACCCTAAAATTTCGAACAATTGGCAGCATCAGTGTCATAATTTGAGAATTTCAGAATCGCGCGAGCTGCTCTATTCTAAAATTTGGGCAGCTAGTCTTGTAAAGGTACCCCACAGGTTCTATAAACGGTACTGTAGTTGTAAAAGGGAGGTTGTATTAAAGCTTGGTACATATAAGATGTAAGGTCGCTTGGGGAACCAGGTGCCTAACACGTTTCATGGCCCCGATTCCAGAAGCGATCTTTTTGTTAGGTTTTTGGTGTGGCAGTTCCAGCTGTTTATCGTCAATTGTTACACACCAAGAATTTTTTAGTTAAAGCCTATTTTACCCGAGTACCGTTCACTGTGACTGATTGGGAAGCAGAAGAGTATTTAGCGTTTGGCCAGATCCTAGCGGTATAGGTTTGTTTTTAGTCATATTCGAAGTTTTTTTTGCAGTTAACCAAGTATACACATTCAATTTAGGTCCTCACTAAGACTTGATTCAATGCTGCCTCAATCATTATCCGCATATGTGAGATGGCGGTCATCGGCGCACATCCTCGGTTCACAGTTTGACAAATAATTTGGAAGCTCGTTTATGTAGGATAATAATAACAGTGGACCGAGGATGGTCTCCTCCCCCCCACTGAGGGACACCGCAGGTTAGTACACGGCTGTCAGATACGGACCCACTAACTGAGAATTGTTGTGTGCGGTTCTCTAAATACGACTGCAACTATTTCAATGAATTCCCAGATATACCATTAAAGTCAAGTTTAGATAGAACAATGTCGTGGTCAACGGTATCGAAACCTTTCTTCAGATCTCCAAAAATAACCGCAATAATTTTCCCAATATCTTTATTATATGCCCAGGAGTCAGTTACCTCACGCAAAGCTGTGACAGCAGAGAAAATAGCACGAAATCCCGACTGATATCTGCATAGCACATCGTGCTCCTCTAAATAGGCACATAGTTGTTCGTAAACTATTGTCTCCAATACCTGCCTCACAACATCGAAAGGTAATTTTTTACGTCGTCGCGTTCACCTTGCTTGTTAAGGGGTGTGATTCCAGCAGATCTCCAGTCTACTGGAATCACCATTACATCGATGTCGATGTCATGATCTCCATACGTGTTCTGCTAAGGGTCAAGTCTTGTGCAAGCGCAGCTAACCACGCAAAATGTGTGACAGAATGTCTACCTTATTTTATCCAAATTTTCAGAACGGGGAAAAATTCTCAAAGGCACAAATGAAATAGAAATATCGTAGACATGATGAAAGGAGATTGAAACACTATCGGTTGATTTTATTTAATCGTTTAATTCATTCATATTTCTCAATAAGACTTTTTATATTTATACGATGTATGACAACTTTATCATTGCATCTTAAGCTTCTGCACTTCTACTGGTTTCCTTCTTCGAGGATGACTTTATGCATTGACTGTTTCCTTAGGCTTTCTTGGTGTGGCTGAAAAATACGTTATCACATGAGGCTATTGATCATTAGAGACGAGCGAAAAAAAGCTGTGTCTTTGAGCTTAGCTCTTTACCATAGTTTATCATCAGAATGTCTCTCTCTACCCGGGAGTATAAAAAGACATTCTTGCGGTGGATTTGCACCCAATCCAGGGAAGTAGCAGAAATGATTGTCACTTAGCACCGTGGAAACTGGGGTTGAGGGGAAACTTTATAGTTTCTTTGTGAGTTTAGTTTTTGGCTTAAAGATAAACTTTCATCTTCTATGGGCACAAAATGAGATCTGACATAAGTTATATCTCCTTGAAATCGCAAGTACATTGCCAGACCACTTTGGGCTCCTTTTTCGCCTCCTTCAGTGCATTTCAAAGTGCGCTTTTACTCAGATTTGCCATTTCTTCGGATATAAATAAGTTTTAAAATTATTTCCACTTTTCTCTTTTGTTAGTATCGTCTTCCCTCAGAAGGTTCTTTGTCCTAAACAGCCAACCAGACTCACAATGGACAGAAGTCCCACAGGAATCCCACGGAAAACTCCGCTATCTCCACCGCTAAGGAAGACCCCACCCATGAAGGAGTATAAAGAAACTTTAAATAGATGATGAATAAATAAAAAGGCTTAAGTATTTTTCCCTACCAGATTTCCAACTTTTATCGGAGGCTCCAATGTTCTCTTTGAATACTGCTGTTACAGTTTGGTCACCCTGTTTAACCTTAACCTAAAAAAAAAAAAAAAAAAAACGAAAAAAAATGCTTTTTGAGACTAAAACAGCGTTACAGAGGTGACTGCAAAAGCACAAATGTCTCTTCGTTACATCTATTGTACCTTTTTCAGTTCCCAGCTTGCGTCAGTTATGATTTTTCTTTCCGATTTGATTCTCACCTCTGTGATGTCCCCAACATCAATGCCACGGACCTTGAATTTGAATGCATTTCTAGGGCGAAAAAAAAAATCAATGAACTTTCTGTAATCAATTTTGTTCAAGCATCGAGATGTGAAACATAAATTTTCTTCATGGGTTATCTTCAGTTCCTTCACGATATGTCCTAACGTTTTGATAACTATCCGTTGGCTTTGAACGGACTGCATTGAGAAAGCATTGTAGAAATTATCACGCATCCAAGTTCTCTGAGATCACCGTGCCTATGGGTCCTTCTCTAGAATGGTAGTCGCCTCTGCAGCCGTTGTTTGGTGTCGTCACGCTACTTACTATCTTCCCCTCCAACAACGATTGCAAAGGATACTGCCAAAATTGCGACCGAGATTAAAAATGCATCATAAAGGAAAATATGGCAAGTTGTTCTTTGTTTTGTCAAGAGAAAGAAATAATTAAAGTCCTCCACGGGGAGCGGCATAAATATCCTTAGCATTCCGCTAATGTGCCACTGAGCTGTAACAAACACGATGTCGATATTTTCAGATTTTGAAGGTCTTTGAAGGGGTTCTTGGTTCAATGAGTCTTATACTTTCACTTTCACTTATGACCAAAAGACAATTTCTCCTTTCCGTTGTTATTGTGCTGTCAAACACACAGGTGATGAGAATTTAGAAAAATGTAAACTATAGGGAATACTGACATTACAAGGAATGTATGGCAGGCAGAAAGGAGAATTGATTTTGCAATCTAAAGAAATCATTGGTTATTAGCCTACTTTCGCTTTGTCTCTTTTTCTTTATATAACAACAGGTCTTCTGTCTTTTTTCCACCGGTTCCGACGAGCATGATGAACACATGGAACTTCGACTTGATGTCTTTTGTAGGGGTGAAAACAACCACCGTGTAGGTAACTTCGATGTGAAAATATTAACAATCATAAGAAAAATAACGAAGAAAATGATAATGACAACAACAACGAAAGGACAATAACAATGATGATGATTATCACCACGATAATGATAGTGATAATGAAAACGACTGTGAGAGTGACAGTGCTGATGACGATGACGATAACTATAACGATAAAAACAATGACAACGTTGACGTAAACGTTAACGATAACGATAACGATAACGATGACGATAACGATGACGATAACGATAACGATAACGTTTGTGCTAACGATAACGTTAACGATAACGACAGCGTTAACGATAACAATAACGATAACGATAACGATAGCGATAGCGATAACAATAACGATAACGTTAAAATAATGATAACGATAACGATAACGAAAATGAAAATGATTACGTTAAAGATAATGATTATGATCTTGATGTTAATCATAAGAATACCAATCCAATTGACATTGGCCTTATGATATATTGAGATACTTGGGAAATGTCACCTAACAATGTTGACGTACGAACGCAACAAACTAAATTATTAAAGGAGACTTCTCACCTCGACAGACCAATAATCGTCTAACCCGATAGGCGAGGCGATCGGCGATTTTGTTCAGGTTTGCCTCGGTAAATTCCATGTTGATCGCATCATTTGGGTCGGACACGATGCTTTCAAGCTGATCTATTCGCTGTGTGTTTTTTACGTTGGGAATAAGAGCACCCACAAGATGGATGCCGCTCAGCTTCTTTTCTACACTTAGGAGTTTGAAGGTGTCCAACAAACGACCTTTACCATTTTCTGTGTTTCCGTCTGTGAAGAGCACAACGATCTGAAAACATATTGAGATGTACGTTTGGAAAACAGCACACAGATTAAATTATATTCAGAGGAAAAGATGTTTTTAGCAAGCACCTTTATGGCTTAATATGTAAGTATTTGTACATTTTGAGTTTAAATTAAGGAGGTTAACGCAATTTTCAAAGTCATTTTCAAATTAATTGATAGCAAATTTGTTATTTTAGTTTAACGCTGATGTTGCCCCTGCCCCACCCCTCCCATCCCAAAATCCTGAACGCAACCCTATACCTTCACTGGATCTTTACCCTTCCTGCGTGCTGAATGTTTGTTGAACTTCTTTGCGACGCTTTTCTTTAGGACGCGAATTAAGCGGTTGTAGAGGCCAAGTCCTCCCTTGGGGTAATTTTTATTCAAGTAGGAGATTGCCTTAGCTGCTGAACCCCAACGATTCATTTTTGTCTTTGAGCCGTATCTTCCCATCACAAACTTGTAGTCGGTGTCATCGCTGTCCAGTGAATTCAGTAGCGTTTTCACTATACGTTGTATACTTGGACGAGTCCCTTCAGAAATGCTCTGGCTGTCTTGGATCAAGACAATAACATCTGCCTCGGTCTTGCATAAGCCCCCAGCTGAAATTATGAGTAGAACAAAAGAGGATTAGACCAAGAGAGGAGATTCCCCATATTCCCAAAATAATCGCTCTACGGGTTATTTTCACTGAGATCACTCCCGTTTGCGGTGAGGCCAGGGCGAGGAAAGCTACAATGGCGAAATAGGTGCATCTTTGGGAGCGCGGGAAAACGACACGTCGTTTTTTTTGTACATTCCTCCTCTCGCACGTGACTCAATCGTTGCACTCTTCTTGCGCTTCCCTCAGTACCCCTTTTGAGACGGAAATAAAGGGCGCGTCCTCCCCAAGGTGAATCTCGCATGCATATTCAAAATTATGTAACGTTCGCTAACTGAGGCAATATCTGGCTGAAGTTGGGAGCTTTTGAGTTCAACTTCTGATCAGAAATTAAGTTTCCCGCTTGCCACTAATTAATTGAAAAGAGGTTTCCTCAGTATTGTTAAAATTTACATCGGATAGGGCAAAATCCTGGTTTCCTGGTCCTGCATCCGAAGTTAGCTTTGAAGTCAAGGACCTTCTTAAATTCTTTAAAGCACCGGAGTAGCTCTGAGTCGCAAAGACATGCGGCATAACCACACTTCCCCGCTTCCGGATCATTTGATTTATATTCACTCGCGGGAGCTAAAAAGGGAAAAGAATGGAATATAATAATAAGCTGCATCCGAGGTACCCAACGGCTTAGCGGAGCCTTTGTTTGAGAATCATTTTTTATTCTTTTACAAAACTCATTCTCACGTGAAGAGTGTTGGACGTAGCCCCGTTTTCTAGGTGAGGGTTTTGGAGCTACAGACATGAACCCATAACCTAAAACAGGCCGAAAACCCGGACATGCGTACCAACTATATGGGCCAAGGCCTCTTTACTAACACAGCGGTCAAAGGTCTGCGCATGCACGAGCGTTTTAAGTGGCATGCTTTCAGTCTGTCAGAACAAAATTGTCGCACAACTACTATAAACAACCACGCATGCTGGTAAGTGATGGTGTGTAAGTCAAAAGTGTAAAACTGATTTGCTAAAACTAAAAAAAAAAAAACCTTAAATAATCTATGTCTTCGAAAAGTCTCGATTTTTTCCTTTTCCCTTTCTTAAAGGGGCGGGGGATATAGAGATTACTGCATGAAAAGACCCCGAATGATCTTTATTCACGAGTTGCTATGCGTCAAGAAAACGAACGAGTGAACGCAGCGAACGACTGACTTTTTCGATGCATCGTAACTCGTGAATAAAAATCGTTGAAGCACTTTCCATGGTCCGATGTTTTTATTTTATACATACTGAGATTTTCTCTCACTAACTGACACATTTCAAAGATTGCAAGCGAACGACTGTGAAAATAAATCGTTCGTCCAACAAGAGACACGCACAATAGTTCTTCACAGTGTAAATCTATGTGTGTATGGAACTGTGAGGAAACGTAGACGCCAAGGACTTTGGCAATATGATACACACAACGACAAAACTTAACGAAAATATTATACACAAAAAATATTGATTATACTTACTGCAAGTGTCAGTAGCTGCGTCGTACTCGAATCTCTGATCAACATTTCTGGGGTTACCACCACATTTATCCGGTTTAACTAAGTTAAGCTCGCAAAAATCGTGGGCTTTGCAACAACTGAAGTTAAAAGAAAAAAAATTAGAACCTCCTTTTAAACTTCTATTGAACAAGTTGACCAGTGAGTGCCTAAAGTTATTAAAAACGCACTCACACACACACACACACACACACACACACACACACACACACACACACACACACACACACACACACACACACACACACACACACACACACACACACACACACACACACACACACACACCCAAGCAATTGACTACAGCACAAAAGTGATTGTGAAACCCCTATGTCCTGACCAGAAGATTCACTAAAAAGTTAACAGGAGACGAAGGAAGGAATGACTGCCGAAACGCAGAGAACAACTTCGTTTTCTTAGTAAAAAGGAAGAAGGAATTAGAAAAGGAAAGCAAGAATGTTGAATAGGAATCGAACAATGCCGTGAAAAGACATAAAGGTTGTGGTTGATAATCTTGATGAGCGAAAATAGTAATCAAATTCTGTCGTTTGTTTCACGATGTAGTCATCTGGGATATGAATAGCGACGTTTTGACGGTGTATTGTGAGTCCCCTTCAACATTCTTCTCCCTTAACTTACAAATCAAAGTTATCCGCGGTTTCTCCCATTCCACCAAAGCCGCACCAACAGCCGTAGCCGTAAATTTGGGAGGTCTGTTCTCGATCAAGACCCAGAGCTTGTTGCGCCAATTCTAAAAGTTGTTCTAACCTTGGGCTGAAATTAAAGAACCTTTTCTCCCCTTTCTGAGCTGGAAAAGAAATAGCCACAAAAGGCGTAGTCATTTTCGTCGTCGTCATTTGAACAATTGACCACGCGTCTATTTTCGTAAGAGGTTAACAACTACCCGTCGCCATATGTACCACACAGCACGACAAAGAAACAAACCTTAGCGGCGACTAAAGGCACTCCATGGCCTACTCAATTAAAGTGGACAACTGAATCGAAACTTTGCGTATTTTTCTTAAAGATAAGTTAAACATTCGATATTTTGACTTCTGACTCGGAGAAATTTAATAATCTAAGCGATTTTTCGGCTTAAAAATCCATCCACACCATCTCCCCTCCCCCATTAAAAAATTAAGACTTACCTTTGGTAAGACCGCCACTAGTGGATGAGGTTTGGCCTACCAAATGAGGATTTGAGAAGAAAGTAAAAACCGAATTATTAGTTCTGAAATCATTGTCAAGAAAGGCAAGATAAATGTTATTTTTGGCGGTGAGGTTTTTTTTCTCAGTAATATAACTTGCGAGTTATCAGTGGTTATTTAATAACCAGCTTTGGAAAGGTTTACCTCCTTTTGCTCTGCGATTGGTCTTAAACTCGCCGCATCCTTGTAACCAATTGACTGCAATGTTAAAACCAATTAAGACTCCCGTTTTCCCGCCCTCAAGCCCGGTACACGTATTACCTTTATTCTGATTGGCTCACGTGATCAATTAATCTTTGGTTCTTACGACAACCAAAAGTGAAATGTGCTCTTCTTTGCACCCTATATTCCTTGAAACACAGAGATAATCTCTCTTCAGTTGTTTAATTTATAACCTTTTTTAATTCATTGCCTAACAATTTTCATTTTTTTGCTCTTGTAACACACATTTGCTTATATCTGTCTCAGTGAAATTTTCGCGACACACTGAAACTTATCTGCCAATCAAAACTATAACAAATTCACAAACGTGATTGGTTATCACCAGCCTGATTTGAGCACCAATAGGACAGTGTACACGTCATGCTTGTAATTGGACAGTGTAATAGGACAGTTAAAGGGACAGTTGACACGTCATACCTGCGTAAGTGGAGAGAACGCGTCATGCGCGCGCGCTATTATCTCGCATTTCGCTGAGTTAACTGGGTTTTTTTTATGAAAATGTATAACCGATGTCTAGTTTCTTTCTCAAATTTTTTCATAGTTTTGACTATTGGTAACAGGACTTTGTGTCGTCCAATTCTGTCTGTAATCATACTCGTAATTAACAAATCAGACTCCCGCTTCGCGGTCGTCCGATTTTGTCAATCACTCGTATAATTGAAGACCGAATTGGACTCCACTCGGTCCTATTACCATTATTAATGAAACATATCATATTAAGGTTACCACAGTTGAGGTCCATCAGGAGAAATGCCATTCCCACAAACGCGCACACAGTATTCATCTTTTCAACACAATCCTGCATAATAGGGCGCAAGTTATATCAGTATGACACGGTAACAAATTCCTCTCAAACAAATCTTGCATAAAGCATAATATCGGCACTTAAGCGAGGCAAATGTATCCATAAAATTCAGTTGTTTAATCTAAATTCACTGAAGACATGTATATGACATTATTTTACAAAAGTAACCTGATGCAGTTTTTTTTGTCTTCACCTAAAACAACTACTTGTTTAACGAAAAATACTGATGTAGTCTATTTGAGTCACTCATTACTGTAAACTGCCTTAGCATTCCAAGATGTTTTCGAATCAACTAAGTCAGTTTGCAATCCTGTGAGTTTTCCGTGACCTCTGCCATTTTTCCTGTGATTCGTTTTTTCGCCTATCTCGTCAACTGCGACAAGAGATTATAAACTAATAACACCACAAATGGGATGGCATGAGAGGCGCGGAAAAAGAATTGCGGATGATAAAAAAAAAAAGCTAACAAAATTACTTCGATACTGATTCTATGAAAGCGAATAAATCAAAATAAACGCGACATTTTTAAATATGATGACTTTGATTTTTTTCAGATTGTACTGAAAAAGATCTACTTGAGACAGATTTAGTTTATACACTTTTTTCATTTAGGGACTTTTTTCACAGCACCGTTGAGGCTGAAAGTGACCCAGATGTGAGAACATGCCTTGTACAAGCACTCGACTTTACAAATGAGTCGAGTTAATAACACGTGGTGGCAGTTTGAGTGTGTCGAGTTACATTTCATAGCTGTACACAAAAACTTCATTCTTAAGTTTTTAATGATCAACCTATGTTCTTGTTACAGCCTTAATATGGAAAACCATTAAAGCGATTTTGTCAGTTGAAAAAATGGCAATAAAAGTCAAATCCTAAAGCAACCTAATTTGGAGCATATTAATCTAAAGTACCATTCCATTTCAGACCGGACTGCGAAATAGTATCGGAAGAACTGTAAAACAAAAAGGAAATAACATTTCAGTGTACTTACGCGGACAGAAAGTTAATTTCTGAGTTCCTTCTCAATCTTTTGACTGCGATCGCGCTAAATTACTGGTAGAGTCTGTGGGCTAATTATATTTATAACAACTATACTATGAATAATGTAAGCTATTCATTGGAATTATTGTCTACGCTCATCGACTTAGTTTTTTAATTTTTATTTGTAATAAAGGAAGTACTTATTTTAGCTTGATATATGATATATTGATCTGTACAAGCAACAACTAAATAACGATTTAGCCGTTTTCTCCCGAAATTGTATCTCTCTGAGGTAAGATATATAATCACACTAAAACAGAGGAGAAATATTAATCATGTATGATTAGAATTCAATCAGCCGTACCATCCTTGAACCTAATGGCATCAAGGTAAGAGGGTTCATGTCAACATTGCTGTTAAGAAGCAATTTTACCTGTACTTTCAAAGAAAGTTTCATTGATTTAAAACCCATGCATTTTCTGAAAGCTTAACAATAACCGAGATTACAACGATCCTTCGAAATATTCTTACAGGTTAATTCTGCATGATGTTTAAAAGGTAGATTTCGCAGAATTTCCCTCTTGTGTTGCTGAGAATTCCGCACACGCTGGTTCAGTAATCTTGGACTGTACACTTTCACTTAATTTAGGCTTTATTGTCGACAATTCAGTATTACACGTTCCGTTCTACGATCTATCTACTCTATTACAATCTCATCCCACGGTTACAAAAATTTTACATTTATTAGATAACGAAATCCACACCCAGATACGTACTTCCGTGTGGGATTCTAGACTTACTCACGTTCTACAACGATTCGTGGGCACTAATTTACTATCAAACCTGGCTTTATTTGACAATCATGCTACCAAGTTCCCATACGCGCTTAAACGCTCTGCAAATACCTAATTTCATACATCACTGCTCGCAAAACTAATTTGATTACCCTTTGCCGCTCCCAATTACTTGCTACTTTTAATTGTAACGTTAACTCTGTACTCTGTAGAAAAGAAAAATAAAGGCCCGCTGACGCCTTTCGAAAGGGGTTTAGTAGAATACTATTTCCGATTTTCAGCTAAAAAGAAGACGCTTGTAAAAGAACTTTTCGCCCTTTGATCATCAAGTTTCGGTTTGCTGATGTTCCCATAAGCACTAAAAGGTGAAATGACCTACAACCACCTAAAACAGCCTGAAACCGCCTACAGGCACCTAAAACTACCTGCAACCACCTGTAACCACCTAAAAACCACCTACAACCACCTAAAACCACCTAAAACCAATAATTTCTGAAAATACTTGAGCCTCTCTCAAACCGCCTTCCACCAAAGGAACAGCGCTCCGTTCCAGAGGCTTTTCGCGCGGGTCAAAATAAAGACTAACCGAAACCGAAAGCCTCTGGCACCCAGCGTAAGCCAAGAACTAAAATTGCAACAAAGTAATTCCAGTATGTCGTAGGTTCCGGGAGCCGATTGTCTCGATCTATTTCGCGTTTGGAACTCGTAAGGATGCTGCTTGTAAGTGTGGTAAATGTCTCTATCCGTAATGAATTTGATTCCATTCTGCATTCCTTTGTTGAATGTGAAGAGGCTAAGTCCTTCTTTGATGAAGTTATTTCCTGGTTTAACAAAACAAACAATTCTCGAAATATTCACCAACAATGGCCGAGAAACTTTTTGGAATGTTGCATAATGAAAATGACAAAAAACTACCTAAATTCAACTAATGCTTACTCTTCGCCAAATAATTCTTATATTGTCAAAAACTAAGTTCGAAAAAAGAGTGACTTTAATGAATTTATTAAGAAATTACTCCTTAAACTTCGCGTTGAAAATTTACTATAATTTGTACAGTATTACCAGAGAATGCTTCTCAAGCCTTAAATCAATAGTGTACGTGTAAATGGCATCAATTAAATAGTGTGAACAGAGTAAATAATATCCTATAACAATGTTTCATAAGTAATGTAGCTAATCAATCTTTTGTTTTAGTAAGGAATTAAGTTAAGTAATTGTAAGTACAAGAAAAACAAATTTATAGACGTAAGTTCAATTAGTGATTTTTTTTTTTTGTGTGTGTGTGTATGTGTATCAAGCAAATATCATATAAGTAATGGAAATTCTCCCGTTGGTCAAGTGTAAATGTAAATAACCATTCCTTTTGTAAAAGTGTAACCTAAGTGCGTTTCTACTAGTGGTATTTGATGTAGGTAGTATCATTTGTAACTGATGTGTGTAGAATAAAGTTCATTAATATTAAAAAAAAATTTTGAAATTTTGAAAAGTGCGGTAATCTTAAGAAACATACAAGCTACATGCATCTCGCGAGATTTGCAAGTTCTGTTTATCACACATCGTTTCAAATGTCACTGTTCTTTTCGTGGTTTCTTATTCTCAGTCAATTTAATCTTTTACTCTGAATAATACCAACTTATTATAAAACTGTTTTGTTTACTTTGTGGTATGCTCGCTCCGCTGCCCGATTTGAAGCAATTTCAGAGATTAGGGTTGCTCAAATTGCCCTGAAGCACATCACCCCTGATGTCATATTACGCAACCTCATCATATTTCCGACAACCTGCTTGGTGTCCCGTTGACCTCTGTCAGACGTTGAAAAAAGCAGACCTCGAAAACACTGACCTCGAAAACACTGACCTCGAAAACACTGACCTCGAAAACACTGACCTCGAAAACACTGACCTCGAAAACACTGACCTCGAAAACACTGACCTCGAAAACACTGACCTCGAAAACACTGACCTCGAAAACGTAGTCTATGTATTACTTGAAAAACCTTTAGGCTCCTGTGCAAACAGTTTTCTTTGTGTTATTCACTGGTCATGCGAGCCACTGGATGGGCTACGGAGTCCCTTAACTGTCATCCAAAATTTTCATTCTCCTTTCCTTTTTTTGGCGACCTTTTTTTTTTAAGACCTCTCTTTTTTTTCGCGACTTTTCCGTCGCGACTTTTTTTGTCGCGACTTTTCCGTCGCGACTTTTTTTGTCGCGACTTTTTTGTCGCGACTTTTACCGGGGGCTCAAAGCACAACACGTGCGGGAAAATGGCGTCGTCAGCGACAGATGATGCACTGAAAGAGGTAAAATGACCATAAATCTAAATTAAGAGCAGTTTATTAGCGTTATTGAACGTGCAACCGACCCTTTTAATCCTTCAGATAAGTGGATTTCTAAGGGAAAGGGGAATCGCCGAGGACATAATAGTGAACTTTGAGGAGGAACGGGTGAGTGATTATTTTTAACTTTGCACGGACACTGAGCTGTTGTGGAATCAGTTGTCACTTTGATCGAAGTAATAAGGTATTGATAAAATAAAAAAGTATTGTCGATCCCCAATAGTCCAAGATCTCCCAAATCGGGCATTGAAATTTAAACAGATGTTCCGCAATGTTGGTTTCTTGTCTTTCTGCCTGGGTAATTACGAAGACATGCAATGACCTGAATTCACCCAAAACCACCTACAAGCACCTAAAACCACCTGAAACCACCTACAACCACCTACAACCACCTACAACCACCTACAACCACCTACAACCACCTTTAGAATACTATTTTTATCATTTATCAGGCATTTTTGTGACAATTTTTTTGACAAATGTAAATACACACGGGAAGTGTTGTTTCCGCGACTTTTTATTCGCGACTCTTTTTTCGCGACTTTTTATTTACATTGTTTTAAGTTTGCGTCAGAGAATTTTGGCTCACAGAGGATTACGTAGAAGGTATAACCCAAGTGATATTGATGCTGTTTTACAAGCTGTTGAGACCGAGTTGAGCGGCAGCGACAGAATCTTTGGTTATCGTGGAATGTGGCAAAGACTACTACAAGGTCATAATCTTGTTATTGGCAAAGAAACTGTTTGTCATGTGCTAAGAATAGTTGACCCGGCAGGAGTAGATCGACGCCTGAGAAACAGGCCCAGGCGGAGGAACTACCGAGGTGAAGGACCCAACTACATTTGGCATGTCGATGGCTACAACAAACTTAAACCTTTCGGCTTCTGCATTCACGGCTGTATTGACGGATACGGCCAGCGTATACTTTGGTAAGAGGTGGGAACAACGAAAAATTACCCGTGTGTCACAGCAAAATATTTTCTAGATTTTGTCCACTCAGTACGGGGTGGTTCACACATTGTCCGTGCTGACAATGGTACAGAGAACGTCAATATGGCAGCAATACAGTGTTTTTTCAGAAGAGAGCTGCTGATGCATTTGCAGATTAAAAGAGTCTTTTGTACGGTTCTTCAATTTCAAATCAACGGATTGAAGCTTGGTGGAGTCAGTTACGACAGGGGTGAGCTGATTGGTGGATAACATACTCCAAAGATATGAGAGATAGTGGGCTGTATTGTGACAGCGATGTAATTCATGTACAATGTCTCCGGTTCTGCTACATGTCTGTCTTGCGGGATGAACTGCATAGGGCAGCTAGATTATGGCATGTTCATAAGGTAAGAACATCCTCGAATCCGGAACCACCACCCGAACGACCGGACATACTGTGTTTTCTGCCAGAAATTACACCGAGATTTTTTTAGTTAAAGCCTATTTTACCCAAGTACCGTTCACTGTGACTAATTGAGAAGCAGAAGAGTATTTAGCGTTTGGCCAGATCCTAGCGGTACATGTTCGGTTTTAGTCATATTCGAAGTTTGTTTTGCAGTGAACCAAGTATGCACATTCAGTTTAGGTCCTCACTAAGACTTGATTCAATGCTGCCTCAATCATTATCCGCATATGTGAGATGGCGGTCATCGACGCACATCCTCGGTTCACAGTTTGACAAACAATTTGGAATCTCATTTATATAGGATAAGAATAACAGTGGACCGAGGATGGTCTTCTCCCCTAGCTGAGAAACACTGCAGGTTAGTACATGGCTGTCAGATAAGGACCCACTAACTGAGCATTGTTGTGTGCGGTTCTCTAAATACGACTGCAACCATTTTAATGACTTCCCAGATGTACCATTAGGGTCAAGCTTAGATAGAAGAATGATGTGGTCGACGATATCGAAAGCGTTCTTTAGATCTAGAGAAATAACCGCGATGATTTTCCCAATATTTTTATTATATGCCCGGACGTAAGTTGCCTCACGCAAAGCTGTAACAGTAGAGGATATAGAACGAAACCCCGATTGATATTTACATAGCATATCGTGCTCCTCTAAATGGACACATAATTGTTCGTAAACTAGTGTCTCTAATACCTACATAACATCGAAACGTAATTATATACGTCGTCGCGATCATGTTGCTTGTCATGGGGTGTGATTCCAGCAGATTGTCAGTCTCCTGGAATCATCATTACATCGATGTCGATGTCATGATCTCCGTACGTGTTCTGCTGAGGGTTAAGTCTCGCGCAAAATGTGTGACAGAATGTCTACGCTATTTTATCTAAATTTTCATATCGGGGAAAAGTTCTCAAAGGCACAAACGAAGTAGAATTATAAAATAATTCAAATAGTACGCGCGCTCTGATTGGCCATAAAACCATTTTACATGAACGTATGTAAACACGGTTTTCGTTCCTCTTTCATTAGTTGTTTTATAAAAGAAATGTAAAATGGTTTCTGTGTTTACATCAGGCTATGTAAACACGGAAACCATTTTACATTTCTTCAATATCATCAAAATAGACACGATGAAAGGAAACTAAAACACTACCGGTTGACTTAATTTAATCATTTAGTTTATTCATATTTATCAATTAGACTTTTTATATTTATACGATGTATGACAACCTGATTATTGCATCTTTAGCTTTCTGCACTTCTACTGGTTTCCTTCTTCGAGAATGACTTCATGCATCGACCGATTCCTCAGGCTCACTTGGTGTGGCTGAAAAATACGTTATCGCATGAGGCTATTGATCATTAGAGACGAGCGAAAAAAAGCTTTGTCTCTTAGATATCGCTCTTTACCATTGTTTATCATCAGAATGTTTCTCTCTACCCGGGATTATAAAAAGACATTCTTGCGGTGGATTTGCATCCAATCCAGGGAAGTAACAGAAACGATTGTCACTTAGCGCCGTGGAAACTGGGGTTGAGGAGAAACTTTATAGTTTCTTTGTGAGTTTAGTTGTCGGCTTAAAGATGAACTTTCATCTTCTATAGGCACAAAATGAGATCTGACATAAGTTATATCTCCTAGAAATCACAAATACATTGCCAGACCACTTTGGGCTCCTTTTTCACCTCCTTCAGTGCATTTCAAAGCGCGCTTTTACTCAAATTTTCCATTTCTTCAAATATGATTAAGTTTTAAAATTATTTCCACTATCCTTTTTTTAGTATCGTCTTCCCTCAGAAGGTTCTTTGTCCTAAACAGCCAACAAGATTGACAATGGACAGAAGTCCCACAGGACTCCCACAGAAACTCTGCCATCTACACCGCTAAGGAAGACCCCGCCCATGAAGGAGTACAAAGAAACTTAAAATAGATGATGAAAAACTGCAAAGGCTTAAGTATTTTTCCCTACCAGATTTCCAACTGCCATCGAAGGCTGCAATGTTCTCGTTGAATACTGCAGTTACAGTTTGGTCACCCTGTGTAACCTCAACCTAGAAAAAAAAAACCAGAACAAAACAAAAACGCTTTTTGAGACTAAAACAGCGTTACAAAGGTGACTGGAAAAGCATAGAGAACGTAAACAATGAAGGTTCATCATCACATCTATTGTACCTTTCTTAGTTCCCAGCCTGCCTGACCTTGGATTCGTCTGGCTGATCTGATTCTCACCTCTGTGATGTCCCCAACATCAATGCCACTGACCTCGTATTCGAGTGAAACTCTGAGGGCGAAAAAAAATTAGTGAACTTTTAGTCATCAATTTTGTTCAAGCATTGAGATGTAAGACACAAATTTTCGTTATAGGTTATCTTCAGTTCCTTCCATGATATTTCCGAACGTTTTGATAACTATCTGTTAGTTTTGAACGTACTACATTGAGAAAGCATTGTAGAAATTATCATGCATCCAAGTTCTCTGAGATCACCCTGCCTATGGGTTCTTCTCCAGAATGGTAGTCACCTCTGCAGCCGTTTTTTGGTGTCGTTTAGGTACGTACTCTCTCCCCCACCAACAACGATTGCGAAGAATACTGCCAAAATGGCAACCGAGATTAATAATGCATCATAAAGGAAAATATGGCAAGTTGTTCTTTGTTTTGTCAAGAGAAAGAAATAATTGAAGTCCTCCACGGGGAGCGGCATAAATATCCTTAGAACTACGTAGTCCACTAATGTACCACTGAGTTGTAACAAACACGATGTCGATGTTTTCAGATTTTAAAGGTCTTTGAAGTGGTTCTTAGATCAAGGAGTTTTAATACTTTCACTTTCACGTATGACCGAAAGACAATTTCTCCTTTCCGTTGTTATTGTGCTGTCAAACACTAGGGTAATGAGAATTGAGAAAAATTTAAACTATAGGGAATACTGACATTAGAAGGAATGTATGGCAGGCAGAAAGGAGAATTGATTTTGCAATCTAAAGAAATTATTGGTTATTAGCCTACCCTGAGGTTGTCCTTGGGGCATGTAACAACAAGTCTTCTGTCATTTTTCCACCGCTTCCGACGAGCAGGGTGAACAGACGGAACTCTGACGTGATGATACTTGTTTGAGGGGTGAAAACTTTCACCGTGTAGGAAACTTCGATGTGATTCAAATATACAGCGATAAGAAAAACACCAAAGAAAATGATAATGATAACAACGATGAAAAGGACAATGACAATAAATGTGAGGATGATTATAATAATAATAATACGATAGAAATAACGATAATGACAATAACTATGACCATGACAATGACATGACAATTATAATGGCAATGTCAATGATAATGATTATGACAGTTGCAATGGCAATAGCAATAACAATGAAAATGACCATGACAATGACAATGAAAGTGGCAATGGCAATGGCAGTGGCAATGGCAATGGCAAGGGAAATGGCAATGGAGATGACATTGATTATTTTAGTGATAACTATAACTATAACGACAATTACAGTTACCATGACAATGAAAATGACAATTACAATGACCATGGCCATGACAATGGCAATGGCAATGAATATGGTAATGATAACGATAACGACAATGACAATGAGAGTGATAATGAGAGCGATAATGATAGTGACGATGACGATGCCGTTGATTCTGATTCTGATAACGATGATGATTGCAATGATAATTATATAAATGCCTATCCAGTTAACAGTGACCTCATTAAATATCTTTGAAATCGTTTTGACCTAAGAATGTTGTTATACGAACGTAACTCACTGTGACCAAAGTAAAAAAAAATTAAAGAAAACCTCTTACCTCGACAGAATAATAGTCTTCTAATACGAAAAGCGAGGTCATCGGCGATTTCGTTCAAGTTTGCCGCAGTAAGTTCCATTTCGATTCCATCCCTTGGATCAGACACAATGCTCTTCAGTTGATCTATTCGCTGTGTGCCGTTTACGTTGGGAATAATAGCACCCACAAGACTGATGTTGTCAGCTCTTATCACTCTCTCTGTATTTTGGAGCTTGAAGGTGTCCAATAACTCCCCATCGCCGCTTTCTGTATTTCCGTCAGTGAAGAGCACAACGATCTGAAAATAAGGTGGAGATTTAAGTCCCCATTGAAATTAAACCCAAAAAGGGAAGAATGATTGACTAGGATAAAGGTTTAGGCACATTCTTGATACAAGGAATTCTGCGTAAATTTTCATATCTGGTTTGGCAGTGAAATCACAAGGAAACCACTTGGCTGGACCTCGTAGTTTCACTCTAGTTTTGAACATTGTTGAAGTCATTTCAGTAATCAATAAGGTTACAGACAATGGAAAATTGTGGTTGACTGCTACGAACTTAGTGTAAGATCTGAAGGCAACGGAGGTCTGCCAACACAAAAGTAAAACAGAAGGAGCCTAAGTTAAATGGAATCTTGGCGTTTTAAATTCCTATAAATGATACCACATGTTTGTTCTTTCCTTTCAAAAATTAAAATGAAATAAATACGCAGAGGAAAAGTACATAAAAAATACATCAGATTTCCAGTCTCTGAACACAACTTTTAACCCAGTAAAATGGTTGTCGACGAACATAATAATATTCAGTAACTTTGAGAAACTTGTTAAGCGTTTCTTGTGATGTTTGAGAATGTGAGCGAGGCATAGAGCTATCTCTAAAAAAAAAACAACGCACGGAATTTTAAAACGAGGTAGAATCGACTAAATTTAAATTCTGAACCTAAGCAAACAGTTAACGATTTTCAACTACGTTATATTGTTAGAGTCTCCAAATATGAAAACCGCCTCTTTCTAATGGGAAGATAATTCGTTAATTCAACTCCTCGGTACCGTTATCTAAGTAACACCGTACAACGTAATTGCGATAAGCAATTACAAACCCACTTTAATCTAAATTTATTCACGGGAGAAGCGAAAACATTCACAGATGACACGAAAGAATCAACCTTTCACATAAAAACACTTTTCGTTGCCAAAGAGGCACGACTGCAAATAGTACGCCCTTCCAAGAGTAGACAATAGACGGCATTTATGTACTTCAATTCTTAAGAGCAACAAAGACATTTGTTGTTTTGAAAAGAAAGGTTTCATATAACTTTTCTCTTCAGCTTATTGTTCACTTACGTAATTCCACCGCCTTTGACGCGAACTCTTAATGGACGCGTAAAGATATAGCATGTCTGACGAGCGTTTGGTTTTAACGTTATAAAAAGCCGCTTTTCCGAGTAAGAATCATCGCTACTGCCACTGCTACCACTGTTACTAGTGTTTGAGCCCCTCTCACTCGAGCGACTACCACTAGAACTGCTACCGTTTGAACTACTGCTAGGGGAATTCATCCTAGTTCAACTTTCCTCTCGGTACGTAGAACGGGTCGCTTAGCGCAGAAACCAAACCAGAATTCCATCTTTGCAATTTGTAGATCATTCTAGACTAAACTTGTGTCGAAAACAAACTTTTGCAATCGAAGTTTTCTCGCGCTACGCAATGTTACGGTCAACATAAAAACTTCCTTTCAAGCTCATAAATAAATTATTAATTGTTACTTCAGATCGCAATCAGTGATGTTAAATATTTAGTACATTTCGGCCAATCATGAAGACATGGAGTTTACTCGACGAAGGCAATAAACACAAATCATATGAAAATAGATAAAACAAAAAAAATATTGCTGTGTCTTTCAGAAACCGCGGGGTTTCGTTTAGCCAATTGCGTCATTCCATTAATCATCCTTGCAAAATCTACCGTGAAATGTAGCAAGTGTATCCATTTTTTTCCACTTTTGTTATCATTTATTGAACTCAGCTAATCCATTATCAAATTAGCTGCTTCTTTAAAAGTAAGTAAAGATTATCTCACGAATAACACTTTGGCGTTGTGAAACGATCTGCAGGCAACCAATCCTTCTGTAATTTCTCTCCACGTCGGTTATGAAAGTAAAATCAAAAACTTAAATTCCAAGATTAAAGAAACAAAGTGTTGTTCCAAGATTAGAAGACCAAAGTTTGTCGATATAAAAAAAACCTACACCAAATACTACGATAAAAGTGTACATTGAAAAGAAAATAAAGGAAATTTCAGTGTTCGTCGTGTTTATCAAGAAATTGAAATTCGGCTTCCTCTAAATCCTCTGACCCTTAAGAGTGACTAACATCTAATTTCTCGTTACAACATTACATCGAAATCACACTTTAAGGCCAGGAGAATAAAGGCACTGATCAACAACTAAAGAAGCTTTTGATTAATAATTTTAATAATAAGTTCTTATATAGCGCATTAAAATTGAACTCTATGCGCTTTACAATTACAAATTAACAAAATTTCGATAAAAATCCTATACATGCAATTCGCTACTCTATCTAAACTAATGAATTATTACGTGTTATGCATATGTTTGACAACGTACGATATCAAATAATCTGGTGGCTTAATTTTTGAAAAGATGAGTTTTCAATAAGCGTTTAAAGGAGTCAACAGATTCGGCGTTTTTTATGCATTCAGGTAGTTGGTTCCACAAATACGGTGCTGCGTAGGAGAATGCTCTTTGCCCATACGTTTTAGTTCGAATTGTTGGGACCTCAAGTAGATTCATATTTGATGAACGGAGGTTTCGTGCTGGAATATATCGACTAAGAAGTTCAACAAGATAGGTTGGAGCCATGTCATTTAGTGCTTTGTATGTTATCAACAGTATCTTGAATTGAATTCGTTTTGTGACCGGGAGCCAATGAAGTTTCCTAAGTATAGGTGTTATACTGTCTCTTGATTTGGCACCGACTAACAAGCGGGCAGCTGTGTTTTGGATCCGTTGGAATTTTTCGATGTCACAAATCGGTAGACCGTACAATAGGCTATTACAATAATCAAGTCTCGATGAGATAAAGGCGTGTATCAATCTTTCATTTTGCTGCGTCGAGAGGTATTTACGAACGCGACCAATATTTCTGATTGCTAGAGACGACGATTTACAGATGGAATTTATATGCGAGCGTAAGTTCATCACAGAATCAAGCATGACGCCTAGGTCTCGGACAGTATTAGATAAATTAATGATATCATCTCCAATATTGATATTACAGAAAGGAGGATTTTTTGAGAAGCGTGAGAGGAAATGAATGATTTCTGTTTTTGAAGGGTTGCACTGCAATCTGTTTTTCTTGGCCCACTCCATGATTGCATTAACACATGATTTCAATCTTTCCATGCCTAGCATTCTGTCAGAGGAGTTTATCTTTATGTAAAGTTGCGAATCATCGGCATATATCATACAGTTTAGGCCATGTTCAGCAACAATGTCTTCTGTAGGCGAGGTATACATTAGAAAGAGTAGTGGACCAAGTACTGATCCCTGGGGTACGCCGTAGGAGATATGTCGAGGCTTAGAGATAGAGTGATTGATCTTCACTGACTGAACACGATGTTCTAGGTATGATTTGAACCATTTTAGTGCGATACCTCTAAATCCGAAACGTTTCTCCATTCTTTCAAGTAATATGTTATGGTCGATCGTGTCGAACGCAGCGGAAAGGTCTAGCAAAACAAGTACTACTTCTTCTTTTTTGATCTACAGCTCTTAGGATGTCATTTGAGACTTTTATTAAAGCAGTTTCAGTGGAGTAGTATTTGCGGTATGCTGACTGCATCGCTGGAAATAACTGGTTCTCGGCCATAAATCTGTATATTTGATTTGCGACCACCCTTTCGATTGTTTTGAGAGAAAAGATAGATTTGCAATCGGTCTGTAATTTGAGAGACAGTTCGGGTCCAATGAAGGCTTCTTTAAAGATGGACATACCAGGGATTGTTTTAACTGATCAGGAAATTCTCCGTTAGCCATGGAGGCGTTGATAATCTTGGTTATAATTGGCGTCAAGTGTGGAATTGACTTTAAAATTCGTGTTGGAATGGGATCCAGTTGACAAGACTTAGTTGGAGATTGAACAATAAGTTTGTGAACAATATCAGCAGATACAGGTTGATTGTTGGACGAGTTCTCCAAAAAACATTGCATTTGAAACTGAAGAATTGCCATAATTTGGAACTCGAAACATTCATTCTAAAAGGTTCAAACTTTCAGAGTTTACAAACATCTTTCTTTGTCATCTTTAAAACAAATTCGCTCGTTTTCTCGAAATGTTCCATAGCTTGTGGTCAAAAATAATTCTTTGAATTCCATGAGAAATCTTGGTAGTTAAGAACCTTTAATAAGACCGTGCATGTTGACAACAAGAGATGAGCTTCATGGTTCTACGACTCAATCTCAAAGAAACTTTCCGTCAAAACGAAATTCTATTTATCGCCTTGCTTTTGACTCTCGAATCACCCGATACAGGATGAGTAGAGCTCTCAGACTGATTTATCAAGATAATAAGGAGGCTAAAGCTTGCAACATCAGCTTTTGAAGATTGTCTCCCTTAATCAGCGTCGTGTTGATAACCAACCTAGTCTCATCTGCCCTCCGACCGCCCATCGATACAGCTTTTTGCAATCAAATAACTTCGTCCAATCGAGTTCCTCTGACGTGTACATTGTTTACGACAGTAAAAAAAACAAATGTTAATATCAGCCTGTGGTCGAGAAAGTAGGTAAACCGGGCGTTCCTTTATCTTCAAATGCCAACTGGAAAAATGATCAAAACTTATCAAATGTCCAGTTTACCTTTAGCGTTTGTTGTCAAGTCTCGACACAATGTAAATAAGCGATTACTCAACACGGAAAAGGATGCCGTTATCAGTAGAAAAGGACGAAAACTTCGCTTCCTTACATCCGTTATCTATCCTCGTGTACAGCTCTTCACCTCATCAATTCACTACTTTTACTGAAACGTAGCTCAAATTGGCCCGCGATGTGTCACTCTATTACGTACATGTAGTTAGTAGAGTTGTCCTCACGGTGACGCGGAAGTCCCGGGTGACGATAAAATTACTCTAGGTTTTTTCCCAAAATTTCCTCCTTCTCATAGCTCCTACCAACAGAGAATCTTGCCTCAAGAAATTCCCCTTCAGGTAGACGAATGTTTAGCTAAGTTCGCAAACAGTATTTTGTCAGGTTCCCCACACTGGTACCATTTCATCGGCTTACATCGCGATATTACTTCGCCATTTATTTACAAGGTAGCCGTAAACGTTTTCAATGAGACAACACCCAAGAGGTAAGATAAAACAAAAAGTAGACTAGGAGTACCTAGTAAGGAGAACAAAACGCATTTCGATTCACCAAAGTAATTCCAACAGCCAATCAGAAGCAAGGAAATATCACGCAGAATCAATGAGCCCAGTTAAAACACCCACATTGCCATAAGCACGTGAAACTCGGGTGACCAAAACGTCATAGATTTCAGTTTTGAATCTGATTGGTTGAAAAAGTAGCGCGAGTTTTCTAGATCAATCACAAAGCGAAGAAAAGCAAAACCAAACCAATCCCGGATCGCTTCGAAATTAACTTGAAACTGAAAATTGCTTCATCGACACAGATTTTGAAGACTAAATTTATGTAGCTCCTTCGAAACTACTAAATACCTCTTGCCAGTACTTTAATCTGAATCTTTCGACCTCGCGTCTCGAGCAAAACACACGATCCATTGAGAAACAGCGTCTGACACATTCGGCTAAATGTTACCATACTTACATGATGTTCGTGACATCTAGTGTCTTATTAGGCTCTGGTTCCCTGGGGTACTCTGGCAGGGAAGGTCGTTTCTTTCGTCCTCCACCGCAGAGAAATTTACTTCGGAGAGAATTGCCTCTCTCACCCGCGTTCTGAAACAAGAATTTAGACAAAGTATACTCGTTGCAGTGTAAATCAGAAGCATTTTTAGAAAAGGAAAGTCAACGCCTAACAATGCCTAAGGAGTCCTCCTTAAAATTTTTCTCTTTTTCTTGTGAAAGGGAACGGGGTTGTTTTAGTTTTAGCAGAGGAAATTTTCACTCGAAGGCGATTGGTAAGAATCCCGGATCAATATCAGTATCTGGGCAACTGCCCACCTACCCCTCCCCTAACCCAACACTAACCCTAACTTGCTATCAATTGATTATTTTTGAGTTAGGGGAGGGTAGGTGGGCAGTTGCCCAGATACTGATATTGATCCAGAATCCCAACCTTCTTTTACAATCACTTTGATAAACCCTTTAGCCCCTGTGGGTGATTAGCATCCTATTTCTCCTAACAACATCACTGCTGAATAAAACATCAAGGTCAGGAGAATAAAGGAAATGATCACCAATTAAAACAGCTCTTGATTGTCCCAAAAAACCCTCCGTGTCAACACCATAGCAAATGCGTAAAGAGCGTCAGGTGGGAATTACCCGCGGATGACCCACAAATCACGGAAATTACAAATCATCAAGGTTAATAAAAATGCATGCGTACACGTGCAAGTCACGTGCCATCAATCACGTGAAAATCTTTCAATGCGTGTACTGCGACAGAAGGAAGTGTAACAAAACAGAAAGATTTATTTGCACCCACAATGTTCTGCACGAGCATGAACTTTGCTGAATCGTTTGCAGAATCAATTTTAACCCTTTACAACCCTACGGCCCATCATGAAGACATGGAGTTTACTCAACGAAGGCAATAAAAATTTCTCTAAGAGCCGACGTGGAGAATTTGTTCCACAATCAAAACTTCTTAACTGGCGATCATTTCCTTTATTCTCATGATCTTAGTGAATAGCAGTATCACTGTAAGGAGAAATTAGATGTTGCTTACTCTTCACAGTGTTAAGGGTTAATATGAAGATGCTATTCAACAAGCGAGCACTAGAATATGGCCATGAATTGAAATTGTAAAAACAATTGTACAATTCAAATTTTTATTTACCCAAGTGGAGTACTCTCGCACATCATGATCTTGTTTATGGCCCTGTGAAGACTTTCCTCTCCAGAAGCATTCCTGTTAAGTCAAACAACATGTCGGTTAATCTTCTTGTTACTAAATAGAGTCGTTTTCCATGACCTAACGCTATATTGAGGCATACAGGGTTCACACCCTTTTCAGAAACAAATTCAGGGATTTTCCAGAACTCAGATTGATTTTCAAGGACTTCACCTTAAACCCTCTCGATCCCAAGATTTCAAAATCAGTTCTCCTACCGGTCTACTTACAATTATTAAAGCGCAAATTATGAAAACTTTGTTGCTCGAGTAAAGCAGATTTTCAGGATTTTCAGGATTTTCCAGGACTTGCAGTCTTTTCCCAGTCCTGGAAAATGTCAAAATAAAATTCCAGGACTTTCCAAGTTTTTCTAGGACCTGTGCAAACCCTGTGCATAAAAGAACTTGAAAATTACAGGCGCCTTACAGGCAGCAATCTACAATTACATTTGTGAGAGAATAAATAAAGGAACAAAGAGTGTACCTGACAGAGAGTGTAATTGTAACAGTGAAGACATTTGTACCTAAAAAAAAAAAAAGAGGAAACACGACTTTAAATTAACATCTAGTTGGTTCAATTATTGGAGAGAAGATTAAAGAATCAAGAGACAAGTTTCATACTGAACGTGGCCACATCATAAAGACACCAGTATGTTGTCCGAAGTTGTGGAAACCTTTAAGTTTTTGGGAAGCTAGAAACACTTATTAACATGACTACAAGATTCACTTGATGATGACACTGTGTGTTTGTGTGGGTCAAAGTCTGCTTAAGCAATTGAAACATGATGTGCAATTTATGTAGCCATAATCATTTAACTTTAGGATCCTTTAAGAATGATATACAGTACATGTATTTGAGAAATGCTACTGTATGCAAACTGGTGGGTGGGAATGTAGCACAAACAAAATGGGTGGATGTAACCCATTTGCTAAACACACACAATGATAATGAAGGGTTTTCTCAATGAGTACAACTCAGTCACGCCAAGCCAGTTTTTGAACCCAGACCTTCAATATAAAAGCTCACCAAGACAGACCAAGAAGACAACTGTGCCCCCTCAAATAAAATAAAAACAGTAAGAGATCCAGTTTTCCAGTAGTCTGACTAACTCACACAAAGACAGATGCCAAGAAGGTAACTGTGCCTCCTCCAGTAAAAGAAAAAAGCGAAAGGTCCAGTTTTCTATTGCTCTCACACACTCACACTCACACAAAGGCAACTTCCACCTTTCACCTCCTAATTTTGGCAGACAGTACAGTATATTCACTAAAACACATCACTTTACCTGAAGCCCACAACAGGCTTTGTCTTGCAAACTTGACAAGGAATTTGATGTTCACCTGAAGATAAGAAGACAATGAAAATTCAATCTCTGCAAAAAAATACTGAAAAAACACTAAAAATAAACTGAAATTATGGATCAATACTCTTTGCCTAAAAACTTTATCTCTAATTCTTCCTTACCATTCTCCTCTCATTCTCCCTTTTACCTCTTTGCTCACCCTGCCCATGCCCTTTCCTCTGAACAGACTTTCCCCATTTGCTCAGACAAAGGGCTAACACTCAAATGTCAGCTTTGAACTCTTTACAACAGGCAATTTACATTGTCAACCAAGTTGATAAAAACCAAATTATCTTGTTTCCACTACTCAAACTGTTCACGTCTTGTGTGCTAAGAACCCTTCATAGTCCCAAACAGCAATGAGAAGAAAGAAAACCAAAAACACAACAACAAGGTATGTTCATGCATAAAAACTTACATTTTGCAGCATTGGCCATTTTCTGCATGGTTCCAAGCCAAACATAGCAAAGAGGAGCATCAGTGCCCATGACACACTCAAGAAAATTAAGAAGAACTGTTTCATTTCTTTTCAAGGTCTAAAATAAGAAAAAACACCAAATCAGTGAGGGATAACACTGTATTTAACTGTACGCAGTACTTGCACTTTATATATTGAGGAATGTCAACAGTACATGTATACATAAACAGTTAAACACACCAAGCACTGTGTAATAACAAATAGGTTAAATCTTTTTAGATTATGGTGAACATTTTCAATTGTAATATAAATATTTTAGTTACCACTTCAGGGAAAAGTTTGAACGAATAAGTTACATAATTTTGTGAAATTTATGCTATGTTGTGAATATCCTAGCTGTGACTGTTTATTTATTTATTTAGCTTCGCCTAATTATCTCAGGCAGGGAGACCACTGCAGCTTTAGCCAATTACAGTGGATCCCACATTAACAATAACAAGGCCAGACCCTCCCTTCCCCAATTCCCAGTAAACAGGTCAGACCACATCACAGTAATCTCATGAGTGGGTTCTTTAACATCTACGGTTTATTCATCCTTATCCGAGAAGACTAGAATGTCTATCCATTTCTTGACATTATAGAAAGGTAGCACATTCTCCTCAGTTATTTTAAGACTTTGAGTGTTGGTCCAGCCAGGACTCAAACCCTCAACCTCCTGCACAACAGTCCAGCGCTCTAACCAATTGAGCTAACAGTTTTTCTTTTAATTCATGTCAACCCTCTTAACCCTTTACACCCTAACACAAGAATGCAATTCTCTATACTGTTCACTATAAATTTCCTAAGATGTTGACAAGGAGAATTTGTTTAACAATCAAAAACATCTTTAGTTAGTGATCATTTCCTTTATCCTCATGACTTTAATGAGTGATCCAGGGGTGATATTGTAAGGAAAAATTAGATGAGTAGCAAGTCTTAAACAATCTTGAACCACATGTATCCTGCTGTAAATTTTTCCATTCCCATTTTTCGAGCAATTTGGTTTACATCAATCAATGATTTGACAAATATCGAAACAAAAAGCAAATCCCATTTCTCTTAAAAATTTGCATACGAGTCAGAGCAAGACATAGTCGTGACAGGTTATCATACTGCAACACAACACCATTAAAATAAGCAAGTAGAACTTATCAGTTTTTGAATAAATGGTGAGATGAATGAACCAGTTTTCAAGAACAGCATATTCACTGATGACAAAAGCTATGATAAAAGCTATGCAGACAGAGAAAAGGGACAATCAATATTCCTACCCCATCAGGACTGAAGAACCTGATCACAATCTCTTCAGAGAAACCAAATGTGGGTGCCTCTCCAACAGCTGCAGGGAGCTAAGAGAAGTGAGAACAAACATCAAACTTTCATGATACTGTAAAAAATTAAATTAATACGTCATTTTATAATTTCTTTCAGAGGGGTCAACCTGAACAAGATCTGAGTGGCTCATGCTTTTACAATTCAACCTGCATTTCTGATGCATTGTGTGACTACATGTATGACTGTTGTCTTTGAGCAGGTTCTTATCAGCCATGATACAGGAGTGGCAGAAGCCACTGATTCTGAGCCAGCAGTGATGCAAGCATGCAAAAGATCTGCAGGTTTTTGGCAAGAAAAGTTTTAGTGCCAGATCCCTCAGAAACCTCTCTGATGCTTGTCTTGCTGGTTGGCTCCAACCTTGCAGGCTTTGTTTCTGGTCCTGCAGTAGCAGGAGGTGGCCTGGCCAAGTGGTTAGGGTGCTCGACTTGTAATCTAGTGGCCCTGGGTTCAAACCCTCCACCTGGCTACTCACTAGATTTGTTCTTGGTTGCCCTAAATTAAAGCCTCGCCTGCACTGTGTAAATAGCCAACTGGTCTGCCTCCTGCCAGTGGGGATTTACAGGCACTTTATTTCTATACAAAATATTTGTTTCTCTCTTTGCGTGTATGAGCATATGTTAAGACTGTATGTGTGTCATGTAAGTATTAAATTTATTACTATTTTTTTTTATTAGTAATGACAGCCTGCTTAAAGGCTATACTACAAAAGTTTAGAATCTAGTTCATAATATTTTATCTTTATGAACATCTCCACAGACCTGCAATAATTCCCTTAAGTAAGCTTCAAACTTGGGGAAGTTCAAATAACCTCTGTCATCCTCAATTTGTGAAAAATGATCTGAAAGTGAATAATTAAAAGGATAGGTTACTCATCAATAATTAACATTAAGCTAAATGCATGGACACATTTGTCAAGAGCTCTTTTAAGACCAAATTAACAATGAGAAAAAGATTAAATAATAAAATAAATATGGTCATCAAATACATTTTTACCACATTTGATTAATAGGTCAAGAATAAAAAGTTCTTACATCTCAATTTATCTATGAGACGTCCAGCACAGAGTGTAGAAAGAGCAGTTTTCACTGACAGCACTCTGATTCTACCTATGGCATCACTGAAAACAAAAAAAGAGCAACATACTTATCAAGTTCCTGCCAATCATAGGGGAAAAAAACCATCATACATGCATCAAATTATTAATTACTGCAGAAATAACTAGCAAGTCTAGTCAGCAAACAAGTCACCCACAGTGCTTAAAAAAAAACTAGAATTTGTATTAATTTTATCTAAAGCAAGTTACAGGTATCACAATAATTTAAATGTTGTAGTAAAAGAAACCTACAGAGTAGAGGAGAAAAGAGCAGAAATAGCCACAGGGGCACTAGAATTAACAGAAAACTAACTACTAAGAAAGTCAATTTTTGGCAGAGAGGATGAGACTTGTCCGTCATGTAGTCTCCCTCTCAACTTGGTGAAAAGAATTTCATTTTTTCAAAAATTTTATTTGTTCAGAAACTTCAATTGCATCAACCAATATAACCAAATTTTAGTCAATTCCTCCCAATTTTCAGAAGCAAGCACACTGTATTCAAAATGTTTTCCCAAAGCTTTGTTTGAAAAACAGTAAATGGGTTCAAATTGCATGATGTTCTTCAAAAAAATTTCACCCTTAACCTTACCTGTCATACGCATAGAGAAGCCAGTTGGTGACCAGACTTATGGATCGTTCTACATCAATGTAGTTAGTTGTGGGAAGCCGTTTGTTCAGAGCATAAAAAATACTTGATACAATTGCTTCCAGCCTTGTTTCATGGAGCTCTGTGTTGTGGTCGAGAGTATTCAGGCCATTTTCTCGAAATGCTTCAATCATGTTAAACACATCAACCAAGTGCACTGTTTGTAAGGAAAATAGAGTAATTAGTTGCAGCAATGTTATAAATTAGTCTGGACATCAAGCTAAGCAAGCCTTTGGGGAAGAATTGTAGGTATACTCTCAGAACAGCATCTGAATATCAAGTCTAAAGGGTGATGTGTAGTGGACTTTCTGCTTTTAAGATGAGTAAAAATCACCTGGTAAAAGTATCATATATCATATACCATGTACTCACAGTTGGTTTTGTTTTGAATGAAGAGCAGTTTTGCTGCTGTCCTGTAAGCTGCAAATCTTATTTCATCAAAACTCTCCTCATCTACAAAAGGCACACAAAACAAAGAGGAAAAAGCACATTAAAAAATGAATGCATCATATCTCACCATGAACATACATGTATTAGAAGACACCCTTTATATTTAGCAATAACAATAGTTACAGTACAGAGATAACGTAATGCATGTATGGTTTAACCCTTTAACTCCCATGAGTGATGAAGACAGAATTTCTCCTTATAATATCAGTACAATATCACCAGATAAGTAACAAGAATAAAGAAAAATATCAATTTGGGGATAATTATTTGATCCACTACTTAAGTCTCTGAACTAACATTAAAATTGTATGGTTGATAGTAAAGAGAATTACAACTTTCATCCGGAAGTTAAAGGGTTAAGCTCCAAAATCCTATAGTGTATATTGATTCCTAACACTGTCAGCTGGACACATCTACTGTAAGTTCTGAGAATTTGTTGTTCCATCAAAAAACAATCTTAGGTTGATTTTTTTGTCTTTTTTTTCTCTTGGCCAGCTTGACAATAAGAATGGATTTTGAAAAGATAAATTTCTCTTTTGATCACCCCAGGGATTGGAAGTATGAACAACACTCTAGCACTTGTTCTATTATCAAATGTTACTTACTCATCTCATGAAACAGGTCTTGAAGGAGCTGATCAGCTTCATCTTTAGGTATGGATTCATTCAAGATGCTGAAAAGAATTAATTAATTCAAGCATATAAAGTTTACATGGAATAAAGCTGTTTGATATTATCCAATTACTAGCTCTTCCCAATAGGTTTTTTTCTTGACTACGCTTGCATTTAGTTTGCTTTTCACTTATAGACTTGGCTAGATATCCTTTTGGATTGCATTTCAGTTAGTATTCTTGTTTCAATGTCACCAATACCACTTGTTAAAAGAATTTCACCTGGCACATGTGAAAGATATGATGTAAACTATAAATTCAATTTCTACAGAGTAGATCTTGTACATTCTGTAATCTGAAGTACAATGTGTACATGCTTTTTATTTCAATCTGAGGTACAAACTGCAAAGGACTACCTACCAAAAAAAAGCACTAAAATCTATGATTAAGCAGAGTGCAAATTAACCCTTTCTCTCCCATGAGTGACCAAGACAGAATTTCTCCTTACAATATCAATACAATATATACCAGATAAGTGATGAGAATAAAGAAAAATATCAATTTGGGGATAATTTGTTGATCCAATATTAAATTCTCTGAACTAACATTATAAGAATTGTATGGTTGACAATAAGGAGAATTACAAATTTGATCTGGGACTTGAAGGGTTAAGAACAGGTCTACTTGGACAATTGGTTTAAACTCTTTTAAGACATTTGTGAACATGATACCAATAAAAGAAGACTCCCAACCAAATGATGCCAGTATAGACCCTGGCAAAGTTCAATATGACATGTTCTAGAGTGAGATTTTTTACTTTCATCTGCTCTCCAATCAGGAATATAAGGAAAAACTGGTCTTTTGCAAGCATAAACCCGACAATTTGGGTTAAAAAGTAATAAAACAGCATCTCATCTGGAAAAAAGCAACAACCATGGCTGTTTTAAGCCTTTGAAGCAGAGATATAATGTAACTTGTGGTGAATACAGCTTGCCTTTGTGCAAACTCAAGTCTAAGCCACCAAACATTAAGCTAACTTATCCCAGACTTATTCCACTAAAAATAACTCATAATTAATTACTCATCTGTATACCTATTCACAAAGCTATCATTGGAAGCATTTGAGTGAAAAAGGATGTGGATGCTATAAAACTAACTGATAAACTCACACGGCAAAGAACAAAAATTCAATATAGAGGGTGATCAAGCTGGTAACTTCTTTAAAAGTAATAAATATATGCTGAAATACAGTGAAATCTACTGTTCTAATTCATTTATTCAAGTCTAGCACCACAAATGCCCCAGTTCTCTCTTTGCGAAATAAGCTTAATTGATTTCTTTGTCTGTCAAACTCAATTCATGCATCCCAAAATTTACACTGTCTATAAGACAGAATTCTATAATTTTCAAATTAAATTCAAGGCTAATAATTACTTGTAGTATATGAGAAACCTGTGTCAGCTTCTTTATTAAGAATGATTACTATCCACACAAAAATAATCCTCCTGCTTGAGGAAAATTATTGGGTTATTTTAAGAACTTAGAATTGGATTGTATCCCTAGGCAAAGTAAGACATGATTTTCAGTTTTTACAACAAAATAATGTAAACAAGTTCACTCACTTGCCAGCCAAGATAGGTGAGGTAGTTGCTTCCATCATTTTCCTAAAAGGCAAAGAAAGTAATTTTGAGCACATTAAAAAGAATCACCTATGTAAACATGATTGAACTCACAACTGCTTTGTTTTAGGGTTAAACCGTACAGAGGACTCTTGACTTAATTTAGCCTCCTTCATTTTGACCTCACTAACAAGACAGAAAGTTGTCACAATTCTTTATTAACGGTACACAATGCGCCTCTTAGACGTGAA